TTTTTCTCGTTTGTCTTTCCATCGTCTTTTTTGCCTGGTCCTTTCATTTCGACGGAATGTGCGTTGTGCCTTATGCACTTCGGTTTTTTTCTCTCTCTCTCCTCTCTTCGATGATGGCATTGTATTTGTGTACAGACATGATGAGATACATAACCGAATAACCGAAACATTTTGAGGATATGTGTGAGCTGCTCGCTCTTGCTCGGTGATATATGGTTTGGGATTGATTAGAGTTATTGAAAATGGTCGTCGATGTCTTTCTCGTTTGTCGTTTTTCGTTTGCTTTTGCGAGAAGAAAATTTCACTGTGTATTAAACAAAAGTAAATTATACTAATGCGATACACATATCGTATTGAATGTCGTTGCTATGTGTGTGTGCCCAGCATAGCATAGCACCGAAAGAGAGAGAGAGAGTGAGAGACCCAACCAAAACCGAGCTTTACGATATATTCAGTGGTTTTATCACGACACATCTGATTTATTATTATTTTGTATAAATATCTATAGTCAAAACGGATAAATGCGATCTAAATAACAGCATATACTTACACTCACTAGCCAGAGCTCACACTTGAGCAGCTAAAACAGACAAAAGAAAACCCCGTACACAATACACAAATCGATGGTGTTGTTTTCGTTTGACGCGCACACTTTGCGAGAATTTGAATCGATCAGGAATAACTGAGAGATGGGGAGAGAGAGAGAGGTTTTCTATGGAAATCCAGTGTGTATGTGAGCCGTATTGCTGGGAAACGACCGCCTAACCGAAAAAAAACATATTACATGACAATAAACCACCGAAACAAACGAACTGTTTTGTCTTTCTTGCGAATTGTCTTAGTTTGACCAGCATTCCATGTGATTATTGTTTTTGAATTTAAATTCATTGGTCACAGCGATGAGAGATCAGAAAAAAAATGAACGACCAGAAGAAGAGTTTGAATGCGGAATTTCGCTCAAACAAAGATGAATTGGTTTTGTTCTCGCTCTCCACATTGAATGGCACACAGTTCTTAATGTTCTGAACCCATGGGCTTAGAACTTGGCAACTGCTTCAGAACACGGAGCATTCTTAGTCACATCAGCTAAATGTTAAATTTATCGCTCTTCATTCGAAACTAAATTTATTGACTGATATACTCCTAACTTTGCCTTTTTTCGCATGCATCTGCTTTGGTTGTGCCTTTGAAAAAGACGTTTGCCAAACCGATCGCACTCAAATTTCACGGAACTGTCAAGTGCCCGAATCAATTCGACGGGAAAGAATGATTGACACTTTTTAGAATTAACTGAATGGATGCATCGCCATCTAAACATTTTTTTTCTTCTCTACTGCCTCACTCTCGAAATTGCGTCTCTTCTGCCCTCATCGACACTGCATTTTCGGTGTATAGTTTTTTCAACATCGAAATGTTGTGAAGAGACGAAAGACCTCGTCAATCGAAATTAAAATATACAATGATGCTCCGTTCGCATATGGTAAAATATCTCAAGAGACAAAATGATCAGATCATCATCATGCGAAACGAAAAAAATACAGAAAAGACGAAGAAGAAGAAAAAACAATGAGACAAAAATATAAAAACAAATGGAAAGCAAACAAAACACAGCGAATATATTGGATGTTTTATCCATAATTTAAATATGAGATTACATGACAATAACAACGACAAAGAGCAATAAGAGCAGCACCATCGTGATGCGGTCGACAATAACATTGCTGCTGCAGCAGCAGTAGTGTATTCTAGTATGAAAAGAAAGAGAGCTCAAAAACGAACGACCGAAATAAATATGTAATATAATAAACAATAATGATAATAACAGTTATACAGTTATAACAATAACAATAATAATAGTCGTAGATAACAGAAACAAACATACATTTGAATGAAATGAACGAACGAACGAACGCATACACAAATAAACGCGAAAGCGGTCGCGCTCGCTGCATATCGCACCCACATCAACATCAACATCAATGTGAACCGCGCGCGCAATCAACTCAAATCAACCTTTTACTTTTACTGCTATTCATTTTTGCGTACGCGTGCTAAATTCATATTATTCCGTACGATTCTCGTGTTTTTCTTTCTCTCCTTTTTTTCGGGTCCCCCTGGTTGTTTTGGAGCTGGCATTGGAAGGTAATTCACGACTAGTACAAACGCTCACACACACACACACACACACACGTTTGATTGCGAAGAGACAACGCATATTTATGATTATATCCGATGCATGCGCCTCGATATTATACAACATGCTATTGTGTATGTACGATGTGCGTATACAAAAATTGAAACCCCAATGGTACTATTAGAAAATGCTCTTCCATCAATTCAAATAATACTGCCACCAATATGCTGTTGTCTGTCTAATTCGTTTGTCGTTCCATCTCTCCATTTCACTCTCTCTCTTCCTTCCGTCCAAACGGTTCTTTTTTTCTCTTCCTTCTTTCGATTCACCACTTTTTCATCATCACATCAATGCCAAAATTCTATCATCTCAATGATTGTCATCGTAGTCGTAGTCGTAGTCGTCGTGGTGGTCGTTACCCGTATGTGCTGACTGTTATTTGCACACTATAATTTCACTCTTTGACTTTGCACAAATATTACGTCCACATACTATTGGAATCGTGATGGAATGCCGTTCAAGAATTAAACTTGTAAATTATACTAAGTAAATCGCCGTTGATCCCGGTAAACATTTCCCATAATATATGCATTTTAATATTTACCATTTATGGTGCGGCACCTTATTTTTCTAAACGGCCTGCAGATACGGTACGCATATGGAGAAATTGTAATATTGAACATTGATGCGTTTTTGTCTATTGCGTTGTCACAACTACTAAATGTATATATCGCTGCTGTTATTGTTGGCAGTGATGGTGAGGGTGGCGAAGCTGCGATTAGAACGTACGTGATTATTTGACAAGATAAAATAGTATCCGCTTTTTGTCCATCTAATTACATTTTGTGTGCGAAATTGGATGGTTGAAACAAGGAAGGTGATGCTGTTGTTTTCTTTCACCACTTCTTTCATTTCATTTCTTTTTTTTGTGGCATTTTCTCCCTCTTTCTCTCGCACATACACACACTCTGGACACATTCTGTTTGTCTGTTTCGATTATGCGTGTGAGTGAAGAGCCAGCGCATCGGATTAACACAAAAAAGTGTGGCAATAAACATTTGTTTTTATGTTCGTCGTCAAAAATTATTACGACGTGTAATGTCCACGTTTTAATATAAACTACTACTAGGGTTACGAAGCCGCGTTAATGCTAACTTGATAGCTTTTACCGGGATTTTGTGCTTCGATTTTTTTCTTCTATCTCGCATGTGTCTTTTTATTCTTCTTCTTCCATCGATTTGTGCTTCAATTTGAGCGCTATACATAGAAGTGCATATCGGAAACTGTCTGTCCAACAAATAGGATAGAGAGTAGAAAAAAAAATCTCGCTGATATGTATCTCTACTGGATGTAGAATTTCCCTTCTTCACTTTTATTTATTTTTATTATTATATGGATGTGTAATGTGCATGCCTTTCCCTCAGCTGTATGATAAGAGGGAGAACTAAACGATCTCCCTGATTCACCTCTTTTAGTTCTTTTTCTATTTTCTCTCTGTGTCTCTCTCATTCTCTCTCGCGTGCGTACGTTGGCATTGTTATTAGAACGCGGGGCTCGTCGTAGTTCGACTTTTTATTTTACTCTCCATTTCACTTTTAATTCTCAGATTCGGTGTAAAGAGATGTCGGAAATAGACACATGCATGTCGATACATACACACGATTCGCTCTACCTGAGAGATGGATGAATAATATAGAACAGGATGTGGCCATTCTGGAAACTCACTGCCTGAGAGAGAGAGAGTGCGAGTAGACGAATGAAGTTGGGGCAAATATTTGTGTTCGATACAAATGCACACTTGTTACCAGTGCCATTATAAAGCAAATGGCAACCAGCACACAATGTGTACACCGTATATATAAATCGCATTATCCTCGTTCAGAAAATCATGAGAAAAATAAAAGATGACTCTCGCCACTTGCTATCCCGTTTCGTCTATCTATTCTATGGCGCTGCATTGCACTATCGAGTGCCCGATCCAGAAAGAAAGTAGACAGGTTGAACAATAGGAAAGGAATAAAAAAAAATACAGATAGATAGATAGAAAAGTGAAGAGAGTGAGAGAATGGAGAGTGAGAAGAAACAAAAGCATCGAAAAATTTCACTGACGCAGTCCATTATCGTGTACAAGCGAACGAAGTGGTTGCGATAACACATTTAACTATTCGTCCTTCCATCTCTTGCTCGCTCGCTCTCTCTCTCTCTCTTTCTCTCTCTCTCTCTCTCTCTATCTCGCTCTGCTTTCCGCCTTTCACTTGCCGCAATTCGTACGTTATGTCTCTGAATCCCATCCATTCATTTAAAAGGTATCTATATTTTGTTAAGTGAAGGAATTCGTTCCGACAAACCAAGTAAAATCATGGTGGTTAAACATCCCAAGAGACGCAGCCACCGTACAATTGATCGAGCGCATTTTTGCTGTTACGACCGCAACCGAAGACAAATTGAAACAAAAATCACACAAACACACACACTCATCCTACGCTACAAATAGCCATCACACTTTTGCTGGGTATCAGTACTTTTCATTCAATCTGTTTTGCATTTCCTCACATTCACGCTCGTCGCCGTCGTCGTGAATGAGAGCGAGCAGGAGAAAAAACGACGTGGAAAGAGTTGAAATTCTTTCAATCTCTAAATGACGTTGATTTCATAGTGATTTATATGTTGCAGAAACCGAAATACCACTGAAATTTAACATTTTTTCCATCGAAAGTTGATCCAAATAGATCGTCCATCAGAATAATGTTCATGTAGATCTTCTTTCGCAATCCCATTGGTTGAACGAAATTGACATGAATTTGAAACCCTCTGTCCATTTCTTAAATCAAATTAACATGCATCTTTTTTTATCCTCCATTTTCAGACAATGACGTTGAAAATCCTGATGGTTTGTTAAACGAGAATCAAAGTCAATCGAACACATTGAATGACTCGCCATTATCCGAATCAGCCGACATTGAAGAGCAATCACCGGCATCCGATATCATTGCCGAAGACTCAACGACACAAATCAAAAGTCAAGTGCCACGAATTGATGCAATTAACGAGAAGCAACTCAATTCGTCCATTGACAGTCGTCGCCATCATCTTAATCAACGTCAATTGCCTGCAATCGATGTTGAGCGCAATATTCCGGCCTCGTTCATCCACGATACAAATAATGCCATAGCCGAACGGGCAGCTGAAAGGTAAGAGATTTGATTTTTCATACTATACGGACGAAATATTTGCTCCTGTTTTCGACCAGGAAAAAAATAAATCGATGTTGTTTTTCGTACGATTCAATCGAACAATTTATGTTCACACATGACACGCTTTTTACCCCGTGATTCAAGTGATTGTGGATATGAATTGCATGGAATTTCAGGCGCCTCAACGTTACGTGAACACACGCAATAAATTCAAATTTAATACTTGCAAGTCGATTTATTCGTTTATGCATGATGTTGTTGCTTACTGGTTTTTTTCACTCTCTCTGTCATTCCCACATTGGGGTTGGTTCTTGTTTTTTTTTTCATAAAATAGTTTGTCCGCGAGATGTTAAATGGGACTGTTGAAAATGAAAATCGAAAATCACCACAACCGAACTAATTTTGGTGCTGATAAATATTAACCGGCAAAGACTAATTAATTAATTCGAACGAATTTAGCAATACAATGAGAGAAAGTGTGATAAAAAATGGGTTGAAAATTGAAATAAAATAAGCAGAAGTGACATGCCAATGGTACGCAGCCGGATGATGATTCACATGTTCATACTAAATGAAATTTTTCCGTTTTGCATTGCACATTTCTACCAAAATCACAGTCAGTAAATTAAAAAAAAATATATCCTCGGTCCGATGAGCTATGCTGCGTGTGTCTTTTAGTGCTGTGCGCGTTGTGCACACACAACATATCCAATCAGACACATTTTGTATATTTTTAACGGCTCGTCGTTGTTGTTATTCACACGAATCATTTGGTCGAGATTACAAAATAGCCACACAAAAAAACGAGTCCAATGGTGTAAACAAAAAAAATTTATTGTGCATGAATGTTGTGGGAGTTTTTTTCACTCCCTCTCTCTTTCGTGCGTGTCGTTCTCCTTTCATCTCGCTGTATTCAGTCTCTTTTTCGTCGAACATTTCAATTATTTCGTACGAAATACGCGAACTCATTAATAAATATTCTCTTTTGGTTCCAATCTACATTAAGTGTAAACAACGGACGCACATAAACATACACTCTCATCACTAGTGGCTGCCGTTGTTGGTACATAAACAACAAAACCGATGCCAGCAAACAGAATCCAACCAAACCAAGCATACATCGAATAAATTTTAATATTCCGATACAAAATAACAAATCAAAAAATTCAATCGCATCAATAAATTTACCGTATTAATTAACAGTAACAACGTATCGGTCGAAAGATAACAACAACAAAAAAAAGTAACGAGATTAAATAAAATGAATGAGTGAGAAAAAAACACCGAATGAAATGGCGCCTAAAATTCGGGTAAAATGTTTAAAATTTGGTAAATTGTAATCGAAATGATGAAATTTATTTTTCACAGTTTTTTTCCACTAATTTTCATCACACATAAACCGATGCAATTAACTGATGCATTCGCCGAGAGATGTGTGAACGATTTCGAAACATTTGATCCACAATTCGATTTTAATTTGTTGCTGTGCGTTGCATTTCCGGTGATGATCGGTCGGTCTCGTCGTCTCATTGCATACGCACGAATTTTTTTTGTATTTGGATTTCATAGAATCAGTGAATTGAAGAGCAAAAAAAAAAACAGAGAAAAAAATCAGTACATTTGGTTTCGGATTTGGCGCCACTGATTTTTTGATATCGAGCTATATTGACGCGAAGTGTTTATGCAAGACGAAAAGAAAAAAAAACCAATTCTGTGTTTATGGTTGGGTGTTGATTCGTCAGCAATTCCTTATTATTCTGTCTCAGAGAGTGTCTAACGATGAATGACAGAGTAGTATCGCCAGAGCATAGAAGCACTGAACAAATGTATGCAACACACAAACAACAGATGGATGCATGTAAAGCGCCGAATTCTCCGACGTCGTCATCGTCGTCGTTGTCGTCGTTTTCGATACGTCGTTTGATGCCAAACATTTTCGTTCGCTCTTTGTCGTGCCCTTTTCCCCGCCATTCTCTTTTTCCATGCGGCTTCGTATATCCGATGTGTATGTGCTGGTGCACACAAGTACATGTGTATGTGCGACACAGAGAGCAAAAGGAGTAACAATCAACGTTTGCTTTGATTCTCCAGTTCCATTCGTGCTTCTCTCATTCTCTCATTTCTTTGCCTTTCCTTTCCTACCGTTCGGCTCGTGTGTTTTTTTTGTTCAATTCTGTGTGCATACAATAACATGCCAAACCCATCCGTCCATTTATAAAAGCTAATCTCTCGCTTGCTGCATACACAGCTCTACACACGTCCACACTCATCCGAGCCATACGGACAAAATGAAGCACGACACGAGCCTTCATATTGGAAACGCACGGTAAACGCGGTGACGGCAGCGGCCACAGCGACGGCGATGACGTATACATTCACTGCATGCGAATACTCCGTGTGTAGAATATGACGAGTGAGTGAATGAGTGAGCGTAATATTTTGTTGTGTGTTGATGTTTTTTTTTGCTGTATTTTTCATCATTTTCGTATCGCGTTGACGCGCTTCATGTGTTGATGTTATGCATTCAATCCATCCAAAATTCGGAGTCAGTTGTGAATAGGCAGCCGGTCGAGACAGAACGTTTTGTGTATTTCGGCGCGATTTCAATAGCATTTCAAAGGCCATTTAACACTGTTGAACATAAAATCGGAGTGTGTTTGGAAACGAGCAAACGAGTCTGTGTCTCTTTATCCTGTGTTCTGCTCGCGCTCCGCTGTGTGTACTGTGCCTGTGCCGTGTGTGTGTGCTTGATTTTATTTTTCCCTGCTCTTCTTCGAATTTGATTTTGGACATTCTCGCGTTGAAGCGTTCATCGATATATTATATTGTATATGCTCTCGGATTGGTGGTGATATCGAATTATATGTTCAAACATATCAAGTGCGTTCAGATGTTTGTGGAATTGGTTCCATTGTGAAGCGTCGTCATATTGGAATTATGTGTAGTTTTTCAAATCGACACATTCAGCTGAAAATTATGAGAAACGAATGAAACGAAAAGAAGCGAAAGCATAAATGTGGAAAATGGATTGTGTGTAGTTGTGTGTGGTAGGTCAGAGCAGCAAGAGCAAACTACTTTGGGAAATATAATTTTTTCTCTACGTTCAACATCGAATGGAAATGTATACGCATTTTATGCGATTCGAAGGAGAATTATGTGTTTGAATTGTGACTAGCGAGAGAGTGAGAAAGAGAGAGAGAATAAAAACGAAATAAAAAAAGCTCGTCTGACGTAGATGGAACCAACGATCTCTTTGTTTATACTGTTAACTGGATCACCAAAATGATTTAATGATTTAATCTTACTTCGACTTGAAATTCAACGTTCAAACGTGTTTGTGCAATAACAAAAAAAAGAAAGAAAGAATAAAAATAGAAAACAAAATTGAAATGTTATACAAACGTCAATTATTAGTCTAAAACGTTGCTTCGAAAACTTTTTTATGCGATGGAAAGTTTGCTGTGAATGCGGTTAAATGAAATTTAACTAAAATAATTTTAAACACCAAAAACCGAACGAAACGAAAAAAAATTATTCGAATAAATTATTTCTATTGAGAAACAACGCAAATGCATCAATTAGACCAAATGATGTTACACGAAGCGGTTATGTTGGAAATATATCGTCAAGCACTGAGTGCGAGGTAAAAACACAAAACATAAAATGTGAATTAGTTGGATTTAATTAAGTGAAGCGTGAATGTGAAATGATGTCGATTGAATGGGGGATTGATCAAATCCAATAGAACAAAATATATATATCGTTTTGATTGAAAACAATGACAAGAGCAAAACATTAAACTTTTTTACATTTAAATTGATTATTTTTTTCGATGAAATTGTGCTGATGTGTTTTTTTCTGATTTTTTTTTCTTTTTTTTTCTCTCTGTAGAGATACCGCGAGCCCCAGATGTTCGTCACGTAATTCATCAAATGGTGGTGGACGATGTCCGTCTGCCGATTCAAATTATTCCGATCGTCAGTCATCAAATGCGGCTGGTAGTACAGCGACAAGTCCGCTTGCATTGCCAATTCCACAGATGCTACCAGCTGCTGCACTATTGCCATCACAATCGGCAGCAATGGCCGCGTACTTGGGTGCTGCTGCAGTAGCAGCTCAACAGAATCGTTTGTTGCTTGGCGGTCATGCATTGGGCCTGGGTCGAGATGCATCACCACCGTTTTTGCCACTGCAATCACCGATCGGAGGCGATACACCCGTTCTCGATTTCAGTACAAAGCGTAAATCACAAGACTTCGACGATATGGATCGAGAGCATCATAACAAAAGCAATGACGACGAAGACGACAGTAACATGAAATCAGACAATGATCCGCTCGATTTATCTGTGTCGTCACGTAAACGAAGCAACCAATCACCTCCATTGCCACGACCTGCATCGCACGGTCGTAAAGTTTCACGAACAATGGACTATAAATCGGCACTTGGTTCACCGTGGTCATCGCCACCGATTGCTTCATATTTTGCTGGCACAAATACGTCAACAACTAGTCCTTCGCCAAAAACACATCATCTGTCACATGGACCCCAGCACCAAGCCGAATGGAATGGGCTGAAAAATAAAATTAGCACACCGAACGATGCAACCAAGGCATTGGAAAAGATGTCCGAATTGAGCCGACTGGGTGGCAACGAAGTGGGCCGCCAATCAAACACGGGCAGCTCATCATCAAGCAATACACCGAGCACCGGCCGTCACAGTGCTTGGCAATCGCATTGGCTCAACAAGGGTGCCGATTCGGTGAAAGATGTGTTCAAATGTGTTTGGTGCAAGCAAAGTTTCCCAACTCTAGAAACCCTTACGATTCACATGAAAGAAACGCAACATCTTGGCGTCAATATGGACGGTCAACGTGGTCACAATCATCAGGCTCAGCCACCTCATAATTCACACCCAAATCAAAATCATGCAGCCCAAAATTCATCGTCATCCACATCAAGTGCTCCATCAAAAGCTGATCTCCATTTAATGATAAAGGAAACGATGCCACTGCCGCGTAAATTGGTGCGTGGCCAAGACGTGTGGCTGGGCAAGGGTGCCGAACAAACGCGTCAAATTTTAAAGTGTATGTGGTGTGGCCAAAGCTTCCGTTCACTGTCCGAAATGACAACGCACATGCAACAGACCCAACATTACACAAACATTATATCTCAGGAGCAAATTATTTCGTGGAAGTCTTCCGACGATATAAAAGGCGGTAGTTCCAGTGGTGGCAATGCAAATAACAGCAGTTCGAATGGTTCAAACGTGGCTAGCGGTAATATTAGTACAGTGAGTGCGGTGCTAACGTGCAAAGTGTGCGACCAGGCATTTTCATCGTTGAAAGACTTGAGCAATCACATGGTCAAAAATGCCCACTACAAGGAGCACATTATGCGATCGATATCGGAAAGTGGTGGTCGACGCCGTCAAACCCGTGAAAAACGTAAGAAATCGTTGCCAGTGCGGAAATTGCTGGAGATCGAACGTGCACAGAATGAATACAAGAATGGCGACAATTCACCGATAACAAAGTCGTTGCGAGATGCTGGTTCTGGTCGAATTACATGCGAAAAATGTGGCGACAAAATTGATACAAGCGTCTTCGTCGAGCATATCCGACAATGTATCGGAGCCACTGCAGCCGAGTCAAATGCGCAAAGAAATCTGTTGAAAAATAACATCTTGATGCCCGATTCACTTCCGAGAGATGGTCGCAAAAGCATCGGCGGTGATGACAGTAATGCATCGCAAAGTTCCCGTCTAATGTCACCGAATCTGTCATCGAAAGAGGGCTCGAGTACATCGGACAAAACTGGTTCGCCATCAGTTCTAAACGCCATCGAGCAAATGATTGAAAAGAGTTTCGACACACGCAGTCGGCATGTCAGTAGCAACTTTACCGCGAACAACCAACAAAATGCACCGCTTGGATCAAGCATACTGAAGCGTTTGGGCATCGACGAAAGTGTTGATTACACAAAACCATTAATCGATACACAAACCATGAATTTGTTGCGCGGTTTCTCTCAACAAAGTGCATCCAGTACGTATAGTCAACGTGAGCGGAGTGCAAGCGAATCTAGTTCAGTCTCCGACCGTGGTAGCAGTGTTATTGAAACATCAATGACTCCGGAACGTAAAACTGATTCTGTGAATGGGCGACCTCGCGATACACCCGACAAGTGCAGCCAGTATGGCGATGGCCAAGACGAAAATGAAGCAATTTCACTGAAAATTAAAACGGACCCAGAGTACGACGACAAAGCCAAAACAAGCAGCAAAGATAGAGGTGCATCTTCGATGTCGATCAAAAGGGAAATGACGGACGATGAAAACGATCCAGATGACAAGTCTGAACATGCAAGCGATTTACGTGCTAGTGCTCTTTTGAGTCCGGCTCTAAGTTCAAAACGCTCAAATTCGGGCGATGAACAGCGAACACCGTTAGCAAGCCCAAACAGTGATGCTATATCGCCGCGATCAACACCCGATAGAAATAGTAAAAAGTCAAAATCGTCGATTCCAACCAACAGTTTGGGTGCACTTTCGTCAATGTTCGACAGTTTGGCTGGCAACGCATCAACAAAATCCGTCGAAAGCGGCAAGAAAACCAATTCAAACCCATTGGCCGCGCTACAGAAATTGTGTGATAAAACGGAAAATACGCCATTGAAATCGTCGAACAACAGTCAAAACCAGTTGGCCGTACCGGTGCAACAGAATAATTCGCCAAGTACCGCGTCTGGTGCAATGTTAGCATTTAGCTGGGCCTGCAACGATGGCATGGTCAATGCGGCCGATTCAGCAATCAAGTGCGCATTTTGTGATACGCCGTTCTCATCGAAAGGTGCATACCGGCACCATTTGTCCAAGGTGCACTTCGTCAAAGACGACAACTTACTCGATCCGATCATTGCCAAAGCTCAAAAACTGTCCGCTTCACGTCGAACACCCCCGTCACAGGCCCATTCACCGCGTAGTGTATCAAGCTCAGCCAGCAGCAGTGGAAACGGTTTGCCAAACAATCGCCTTTCGAAAAGTCCAACACCGCCAGCGACCGCATTAAATTCACATCAATCAACATCAAACGCTTCTCAATCGTCTGCATCTGGTGCGAATTTCGATGAGAGTCCACATTCAAAATTCCTCAAGTACACCGAGCTAGCGAAACAATTGTCGTCGAAATATGTCTGACATTCCAAATCATAAAAGCGAACCAAATCATAAGCTATAAGTTCACTTTGAATAACTATACAGAAATGAAACAACATGGATCAAAAGCAAGAGAGAAAAGAAAATGAAAATTCCATACGCAATCTTGATGAGAAATGATAAACTATTATGATTAGAACTATGTAAGTTTTGCGTTGCAGTTTGGACTTGAAAAGTAAAACAAAAACACAAATTATACGTAAAATCCGTGCAACATTTCGATTTGCATATTCTGTAGCTCTTTTTATCTTAAGCGTGCTTACAATTTGAGATAGCCAATATGGATATGGATGATGCCGTTTGTTTTTTTTTCCTTTTCTTGAATAAATTCCAGCAATCATGATTATAAACGATTCTCAATCGTCGCATAAATTGATTGCTGTTGTGACTACGATAAGATTCGAGAGAGACAGACAGAAAGAAAAAAACAACACATTTTGAATGTATTTATAATAATTGATTCTGGAATTAAGATTTTGAGAGATAAAAACCAATTTCGTTTCCGTAATAGTAAATACCGGTTAATCGATAGAACAAAATAGACAAAAATTTTACTCGTTGTAAAGAGCAAAAAAAATATTATTAAAAAAAACATATCCAGAACACTCTGAAAGGGACAGTTAAGCAGAAGAACCAACAATTGAATAAGATTATGGTTTGGATTTTTTTTTGAGATAGGTCCTACATGAACTATGATAATTTTTGTGATGGCACATATCGAAGCTGTGGGCGTGGAAGAAAAATTGCATTTCGGTGGAATGAACAAAAAACAGAGTCACTAAATGAACGAAAACAAAAATCGTAATTTTTCCGTTTTGAAAAAACATTTATTCAATAGCACATAATTTGATCATCAATTGATGTATTCCAAATGAAAAAAAAATGTCTGGCATATTCAAAAACCGGAATTCATCGGACAGAAATCGAATGGTAACAAATGGCACGAAAAAGTTCTCTACTACAAATAATTTATAGAAGAAACACAACATGATGGAAGCAAACTTAATTAAGCTTAAGAAAAGAATCTAAAAAATGTATTAATAATAAAAAAAAAGTATTTCTGATAATTTTATTAGTACTATTGCCGTAAATGTATTTTTAAATATAATCCTTAGATAAAACCTTAAAAATCGTCGCATTGAATGGGCAAAACATAGAGCAGACAAATAAGTTTGGTGAAAACTACAGACGGAGGAGAATGGTACAACATGGAAATTCGTTTGCATAGGAGAGGCACAAATAATGTTTGTCACTAAGACCTATACCATTTACATCATATTCCTTGGAATGCCGTGCCATGTACATAATAGTCTTCTCGAAGACAAACATGAATAAGTTACGATTTAAACAAATAAAGTATACAATTTTACAAAAATGAATGGAGCGACACACAAATCCTCCGCATTATTTTTACCAATTAACAATTTCGCCAATCTGAATGGCAAACAGAAAGCCATCATTCAGCCCATTTCAAATTCATTTCGAATAAAAATCAATTCACAAATTAAATAGCGGAAAATTTACACACACAAAAAACGCCGATAACACCGTTTATGATGATGATGAATGAATGACGATCTGGAATAATGTTCATTACCATTTTTTTTTCTCGTAAACATACGAATGGCAAATAAGATTATTTATATCTAACTAAGCTAAATTTATTGAAAATTTTTAAATAAAATAATCAACGTTTGAACATTTCTCTCTGTGCGGAAAATGAAATGAAATTGAAACGGAAAAGGAATGAAAAGAGAAAGTAACGCAGTTATACGATGAATGAGTTTTGAAGCCGATACAGAAGCAGGAGGAGAAAAGACGATAAGCAAGAGGATGGATAAGGTCAAATCTCATTCAAGCTCACCATACAAAACATAATGTATACCGATTTTACTTGTTTTAAATCTTTTTCTCGATTAGATGAGCAAAAAAAAACAATCTATCTCAAAGAGTTTTCATTAAATAAACAAACAAACAAACAAACAAAACAAAATGAGCAAGTTTTAATGTGTAACACATAATGAAACCAATATACGACTAAATTTAATTACGATCATTATACAAATTTATACTACCGAGTATACGTTCTGAAGAAGAAAAAGTAATAAACAGAAAAAAAACCGCATAGTCAAAAAAATACGGTGTTAAATTCATTATTATTGAAATAAATTTGTCAGCCGAATGAATGGAAAAGAAATGAATAAAAAAAAGCCAAATTCAGTTTTCCTCTTTCTAGATGCTAGTCCTATCGTTCACATTTCTTAGGCACTGCACTGGAAGAAGACCAATCCATCGCCCGATCAGAGTTTCAAGTCTGACGAACACCGATGTTGTTTTTATTTTTTACTTTCATTGCAAAACTAGTTATCATTTCTACCCGTTACGGAAATTATTTTCTTTCCGGCATAATTCAATGAATCTTTCACCTAGCTGAGGAGTCTCGTATTGTCAACACTTCAAAATTATACGCATTTGAACATTTGATGATATTTAAATCAGAGATACGAAGCAAAATAAGTATACAAGAAAAATATGAAGAAAAAAATGAAACACACACACACACACACACACACACACAAAATCACGTATACGTACTACTTTCGGTAGTTAATACTGAACTTATATGATAACTGACAAGCTATAGTGTTGTATACAATATTTAATTGATTGATAAAAAAAAGCAAGAACAAAACTTATTAAATTATAAAACTATTATCTAACATATTTTAACCAGAACACACAAGAAAAAAATAAAGAAAAAAAAAACATGGATCGCGCAAAGCTGAAGTTATGACTTACGTGTAATATTCAAGATGAATTCTAATAAATTTACCATTTAAAATACTTAATTTAAAAAAAGGAAAACAATGTGTAATAGAAAAAAATACATTCAATAAAAATACCGAAAATTCTCAATTCCCCAATGTTTATTATTTGTCGAGTACATTTTCAGGTTATTTCAGTGATAAAGTCATATATATCTTGGGCATAAAGCACTGCCGACAAGAATAAACACCTACTCAATTTCTAGCTGCTCTTTTCATTGGCTTATCGCTTAATTGTTGCTTCTGAATAAAACCAGACTCAGGTGAGGCTTAAAGCACAATCTACTGAAGAAACAAATAATGGAAATCATCGGAAAAAAGAACTGATTTGCTCATTTAAAAGAACGCTAATTTAAATAGAATTCTTGCGTTCTGCTTGATAAAATTGAACGATTGCATATGGTAAGGTAACGACCTTAAGCGCTGCAGATTAAATTATAATCGACAACTATTCCTTATTATTCTCAAGATATCTTGCAATATTTACCAAAACATTGCGTCAAATTTTCCCTTTGATATTTGCTGATTCGGTAAATTGGTGCTTCAAACAGATTAGCTTTAATTTATGATGACAAATAGAACTGCGGTAAATACACAGTTCTTATCTGTGAACAGAAAACCCGCCCGAAAATTCAAAAAATGCGACTCACGTGAGTCGGCTACTATTGAAGATGGAGTTGCCGCGCATTTTCTTTGATATCAAACATTTGCTTGCGTGACATTCGTGTTGAAGGCTTGTGCCGCGGGTAAACAAAGCACTGAGTAAATATTTACTGGATTCGCTTCAATGGAAAATGAAAAGGTAAGATTACTTTAGCGACACTTTTTTTTCATTTTTCAAATGATACCGCTTCTGAATCAAAGATAAATAATATTTTCTTTGTTGTTTTAAGTTGCGGTTCATTTTTTCTATTTGCGGAACAAACCCTAGACTTTCATTTTGACATTGAATGTATGAGTAAGGAATGTCACGAGAAAAAAACGCATGTCTATATACGTCTGTCAAATTACGTCTCTACCTAACTGTGATGTAAAGCCACACAAATCGGATAAACGCGAATAAAAGTGAGAAGAAAAATTCTGATTAGTAGCGATTTATTCGCTATTAATTTGATTTGAACGGTTAGTGACACAGTGGGTGAGCATCAGTGAAAAAATGTCATCTGAAATTTGTTGTCGAAACATAATTTAATTGAAAAACAGAACAAAAATTAAGGAAAATGTTTAGATTTGTTCTAAATGGTGGTTTTCAGCATAACAAGAGCATTTTGATCCGATCGATTTTGGTACGATGAATCTTTATCAATTGCTAAATATACAAGTTCATACAATTTTCTGTTTCATTTCGTTCATTCAAACAGTATTCAACGAAGCAGTTACCGAAAAATGTTCTTGCGACCGAACCGAAACCGATTGACGATCTTAAATCGCGTCACAAGTATGATGTAAACAGAAAAGTGTCAGCCGAACAACTACAGACCCTGAATACGGTGAGCTTTGAGGAAATTGTAGTGCCGAACATCGCTCAAGAGCGGCCAAATGTGGTTAAAGATGTGGAGACAATCGACCAAAAGAAGCAGATCATCAGCTGGGAACCAACACCTTTATGTGACCCATCAAAGTTGACAAATCAATATTTGATGCTATCAAAAATTCGATTAACTAGTAAGATCACTAGAACCTTGTGCTAAAATTAAATCAGTACTCATGAAATATTTTCAAATCTACAGCCCTAGTCGTAATAACAACAATGGTAGGATATGCAGTGGCACCGGCTCCATTCGATCTGACTACGTTCGCATATTGCACAGTCGGCACCGGTCTGTGTTCAGCAGCGGCAAATGCAGTGAATCAATATCATGAAGTGCCATTCGATGCGCAAATGGCACGAACGAAGAACCGTGTTCTTGTTCGTGGACAACTCACACCGTTGCATTCGATCAATTTTGCCCTTGCATCAGCAACAATTGGAACTGGTCTACTGTACTTTGGTGTGAATGGATACGCTGCTGCACTTGGAGCTGGCAATTTGTTCTTATATACCTCAGTATATACGCCAATGAAACGATTTAGTATTTTAAACACATGGGTTGGATCAGTCGGTATGTTAACAAACAATATGCCAGACAAGAGCTAATTTTCTTCGGGATTACAGAACGACAATCTTTTCTTTTCAGTCGGAGCGATTCCCCCAATCATCGGTTGGGTGGGATGCAGTGGCACATTTGATGCGGGCAGTTTATTATTGGCGGCACTTCTGTATTCATGGCAATTCCCACATTTCAATGCCCTATCATGGAACCTTCGACCCGACTACTCAAGGGCTGGCTACCGAATGATGGCTGTTACCGATCCGGCCTTATGCCGTCGAACGGCTTTGAGACACACGGTTGCATTAAGCGTTTTCTCGGCGCTAGCGCCTATACTTGGCGTAACCAATATTTGGTTTGCTCTCGAAATGCTGCCTTTGAACGCATACTTCATTTACCTAGGTAAAACACAGAGAAATATTCATCAATTCTGCATTTCGAAATGCTAACCCCGTTTCGGGTTGCTTTTGTTTCTGATTTCAGCTTATAAATTCTACCAAAAATCGGACAGTGGCAGTTCACGAAAGTTGTTTCGGTTTTCATTGATCCAACTACCAATGTTAATGATATTGTTCTTTGTCAATAAGAAAGAATGGATAAGCAAGAAAGAGACTACTAGCAAAATGACTTCAATATCACAGTCGACGGATACATCAATAGTTGCGCCAACGGTTAAGGCCGTTATGTAAATATAATTAATAGGCTATTGATATATCGAAAAATTGTAGTCTAAAATTTGTTTCGAGCCGATTGTTTTGAAAATGAGACAAAACATGATCAATAAATTATTTTTAATTGAATTCGGGATCGCATTGCATTCAATGAAAAAAAGATTTTCGTTCAGAAATTTAATCAGTCAATGTTATGTAAATAGTTTGTATGAGAAGACATAAACTGTCAATGTTGCAACATTCAGCGTTGGCAACACTGTCGAACCGAAACTGCACCGCCAAAATTGTACATAACCTCACATGTCACTAAACCGATTTTCATCGTTTGTATATTTCACATCAAAACGTCTGCCGAACAACAACGCATTATTTGAACGAGAAGACGTGCACAGATAACGTATTGTGAGCAACGCCAAAAGTTTGATTGGGATTTATCGTTTTTAGTGTGTGATTTTGGTGAAAGAAAAGTGAGTTTACAAAATGAATATGTTTGAAATTACGCTCGACCAGCACATGGATATGATCGAATATGCGGGGAATACGCTAGATAAACATGATTTGATAGATAGTACAGCGCCCAGTTTAGTTGAGGTATTTGGTTTTTTTTTCTCGTTTTTTTCAACGAATATTTTTTAGAAAAATGTTGTGATTTCTTATCATTGTTTGTTCGTTTTGTGTTCGGTACAGGTTACCGGCATCAGTCAACATCACATGGCAACAGCGAGCGGTCTATCTGATTATGACTATCAGAATCTATCGAATTTAACGATGGGACTGAAGAACCTCAATCAGCTAGAATTAGTCAGCAAAATTCCAATTCCACCGGAGATTATGGAACATTTCAGAAGTAATTCAACTTGAATTGATCCATTCAAAATGGTTCAATGGGATTTATTGATTTGTTTGTTTTTTTTTCATCTGCCATAGATATCAAATGCCATTGCATGATGGGATTATTCTCGGAAATTGGTCGTGCTTGGTTGACAATTGACTCCGATATTTACGTATGTTCATCAAGTTTTCGAGCTAATCCAAAGTAAAACATGCTAATTTCTTTCTTTTCAACAGATTTGGAGCTATGAACATGGGCGTGATGTTGCTTATTACGATGGATTAACTGATTTGATTGTTAGCGTTGGTTTGGTGAAGCCAAAAGCCGGTGTATTCGTGGCCGATGTAAAATACTTGCTCATTCTAACGACACCGGTTGAAATTGTGATTTTGGGTGTAACATTTGGCGATCAAACCATTTCATTAGCATCATCCAGCCCATACGACGAGATGCAATTGATGAACAAACCCATCTTTATCCTAAGCACAGACAACGTGGCCATCACTACAGTGGTCGGCACCGATGATTCGCGTATTTTTATGGGCGGACGTGATGGCAATTTATACGAAATTTCCTACCAGAATGAGCCGAGTTGGTTTGGAAAACGGTGCAAAAAAATCAATCATTCGCAAAGTGTAGTGTCATACATTGTGCCTGGATTTTTGAAATTCTTTGCTGAAGATGATTCCATTGCGAAGATTGTCGTTGACTCAACGCGACATCTGCTGTACGCATTGACTGAAAAAGGTGCAATCGAGGCTTGGTTCATTGGCACGGATGTGAACTCAATTCGACGCATTGCACGCGTCTCTCAAAACGATATCGTTCATCAAGCCAGTGCAGTTTTGAAGTAAGTTCAATTTGTTATATCAAAGTATTTTGAACATTTCATTCATTTTGTTACGTACGTTGCTTTTTTTCCAGAACGGTTGACGCTACAGTGTTCAAACCGATTGTATCGATAAACGCGCTCAAATCACAAGACTGTCTCAACCTGCACTTGATCGCAGTGACCCAGTGTGGAGTTAGATTGTATTTCTCAACAGTTTCATTGTTGGACGTTGCCAATGCGCAACAATTTGCAAACGTGCCGGTAGGCGAGCGACTAGGTGATAGCACTCAACCGAACAATTTATATTTGCAGCATGTTCGACTGCCGCCTGGCTACACAGCAAATGCAACAAGCGGAAAACCGAAACTAGTTCATTCCTCATATCATAGTAATGGCACAGTGTTGATGGTTTCGTCGGCTCAACAAGAACAAGATCTCCTGTGGTCACTGAGCTCAGAGCCATTCCCATTGCGACCATATTTGGCTGAATCATCAACGATCCTTCCGTTGGATGGGCAGGTTTGGGCCATAGCCGAGACAAAATCATTGAACGATGGAAAGTCATTGAAAATACCATTGAAAAATGATCGAACGAATACGAAAATGGTGTTGCTGACAAATCAAGGCGCCTACATTGTGGCACTGATTAAGCCGATGGGTTTGCTTATGCAACTTTTGACTGCGTGTCACGGTGCACACAACGATGCAGTCAAAAACTATTTCCAAGTTCAGTCTGAGCCACAGGCCTGTTTGGCATCGCTACTCATCGCATGCATGGAAGCATACCGAGGAACTGAAATAGGGCTATGGGCAACACAGGCGTTCATTTTGTACGGCGGTGAACCACAACTAGCCAATCGAAATCAGCTTTATAACACGTTCAATGGTGAGTAAAACAAGGATTTTGCTTTTACGAGGAAATCTTTTCCGAAGAAAATAAAAATTGGTTAATGTTCCACAGAAACACAAGGCGGTAATCCAAATATAATGGTATCAACTCCATATCCAATGGGACAACAGCAGATACCAGGACTTCCATATAGCCCGATCTCACGCAATTTGGGCGATCGAACACAGTCACAACAGACGCAACAATTTACACAGCCGCAAGACATCAAATATTCACCGAAACACACCGGCCTGTATTTGTATATGGTTCGCTTGTTGCGACCAATCTGGAAGAAAAAGTGCATAGTTTCAATGGATGGCGTTTCGTCGTTGACCCATGAGAATTGCTCGGAAATATTAAGCGAATTGTATGCTCTGAAAGCGTTCCTTGAGGAAACTCCTCTGAACAATTTCTCAGGTAATTTATTTTGCGAAACAATAAATCTTTCGGCCATTTACTTAATTCGGATGTTTTCAACAGAAATTTCCTCGGCAAGTGCTATAAACAATGAGTACAGCCAAACGTCAATGGTACAACAAAAGCATCCACTAGAGAAGGCAATTTTCGATGATGAAAAGCGTTCGATAAACGCTTTGTCGCTGTTTATCAGTAAGTATTCGAGATCATGATCTCCATTGAGACATTATCTTATGTCAGTTTATCTTATTTTCAGAGCATACATGCGAAGTGATTGCCCTTTGGAAGATTTTGTGTGAACATCAGTTCAATTTGTTGTTCCAATCATTGCCAAAAGAGGAACAGACTTCTCTATCATCGAGCACATTCCGTGATTTGATTCTCTCACGCAGCGACACTTGCGCTCTGTTCATTGTATCGTTATTGAACTCATACCTGAATGACAATACAACAGTCAGTTCCATATCATCGAAATTACGAGATGTATGCCCAACGCTGTATCGTCATGAAGACGCCGTTCTGTACAAGGCCACCGAAATTTTGATGCTATCAAAATCGTGTGCTGATCCCGAAGAAAGACAGAACAATTTGTACACGGCATTGCAGCTATGCAAAGATGCAGCTCCAGATTTGCCATTGACCAATATTTGTCAACAATTCACAGCGGCCAAATATTATCACGGCGTCATTGAATTGTGCGCCGTTTGTGCATCGAAGAAGGATCCAAACAATGCCGCCCTTCATTTCTACAATAACAATGAGCCTATCGAGGATCAGGAGGGATATGCAGCATACACAACCCGAATGAATTATTACAAATCGATCAAAGCCATGCTCGATCACATCTATCACACTCAAAGTATACAGAAGCAAAATGCACAACAGAATCAACCATTAGCTCAAAATGAAAATTCATTGAACAACAGTGTCCTCGAAACTGTTGCCCTGGCATTGCAAACGTCAGATCCATTACTTCATGTCACCATTTATGAATGGCTGTTATCGTACAATTTTCTATCCGAATTGCTGAACATTTCCGAACCAACTTTGGGCGAATTTTTGGTGCGATCGGTGTTGAAATCGCCACAAAATATCAAATTGGCCGATTTACTGTGGAAATTCTACGAGCGCAATGGTCAACATTCGGCTGCAACAAAGATATTGGTAAAATTGGCATCGTCGCCGAATAGCGAACTTCAACTAACCGAGAGAATCGAGTACTTGGCTAGAGCCGTCATGTGCATGCGCAGCGAATCAAATGGATATTCATCTACCAATGGCGTTGCACTGATCGATATCGAAGACAAGGTGAGTAATGAAAGACTTTTGACAAAAACAAACAAGCGATTCGAATCATTTTCTCAATTTAAATTCTTTTCTTTTCAATAGTTGGAGATCGCGCGTGTCCAGAAAATGATCCTTGACGCTCTCTCAGGTGTCAACAAACACGATGCACAAAGTGCTTGTCAAAATTTGAACTATCAATTGTACGATATAAACGAACTGTATGCAGACTTCGTTGAACGTTTCGATTTGTGTGAGTGCAAATTGAAGATCTTGCACTGTTCACATCACAACGATCCGCTGTTGATTGAATCAGTTTGGACTGAAATCATAAACAAGGAACTGGAAAAACCTGGATCAAACGAAGAAAAGCTCACGCGTCTTCTGCTGAAAGTTCAATTGTTATCGAAAGAATATGGAACCAGTGGACACTGTTTCCCGTTAGCATTTTTGGTGCACGAACTTGAGCTTCGTGCCTGTAAATTGCGTTGTAGCCCATCGCCTGTGCCAGAAACGATGATCAATGCCATAAATATTGATGCGGATTTGCTACTCGACATTTACGCCAGAATGATTTCGGTCAACGAGAGGGTATGGCTGAACGAAGGCAACGAATGGCATTTGGTTGAATCGACTACGCGATTGGTCGACATGTTGACAACACAATCACATCTGATCCCAATCCGTGGTCGAACCCGCATCGTAGCAAAGGCTCAGGAGTTGGTGTCCGCATGCCGTAACCTCCTTTATCCAAAGCCAAACACCGAGGCCATGCAGAACAAACTCCATGAAATCGAAGCCAAACTCAAGAGAATCTTGTATTAGACCGTTTTTCTGCGAAAGTGTTTGAATTTATCATAAAGCCAAGTTTTTTTTTTAAATATTAAGTTAAATGAAATTGAAATAAAACTATTGAAATTTTTGCTACAAAAACATATTAATGATTGTTACTTTTTTCGGAAACCATGTGGGACCAAACGTAAAATAATATTGATCCATAAAGATAGGCACAAATATCACCAAATCAATTTATTAGGGTAATTGAATACTCTCATGACGCATCAGTGATGCAAAATTAACAAAAATATTCGGAAAATAACCTAGTTATGTACATAATTATATGAAAAGGTAGCATCCAAAAATAATCTCTTGATTGTGTTTTGAACAAAATTATTTAAATGAAATGAAACAATTGAAACTTCTATGTAAAATTCATTAGGTTTAGCTTTTTCTATTGTGAAATGTAGAATTGGTGTTGATGAAATGGCATTATGTCTATTTTGGTCTTCATTAATCAAAAGTAAAGAATGCAACTGACTAGTTGCTGACTGAGCTCGGTTCAATGCATTTCGACATGCGATACCGCTTATTCCATTGTCTCATAAGCCACAAGAGCGGTTCATATGAGTTTGGAGCAGGAAGTCATTGTTGGGGTGGCATTGCTTCAAGCTCATAAATTGAGCGCTCCAATTATTGACTGAAATTTGAAAAAAAAACACAACAAGTTTGGTAAATCTATACAAAACATTAATTATAATCATCTATAATCGTAATATTTCCATTGGCTCTGCTTCGAGATCAAGAATGTATTTACAAAATTTCAATTCATACAAACTCACATCTGGTTTTCTGATAAAGAGCCATTTATTTTAGTTTTAACGAGAAAAAAAAATTAAATGAACTATACCGAGAATAGTACTTACGTGATTTCAACCAAAACTTTTTTAATTCGATCAAAAGCTTCTACTATTCCAATATCTTCGAGTTCATCATCGCTATCCAAACCTAAATCCAATGAGCTGTCGCTTTCTGAGTCACTTAAATTACTCGGTAAACGTCCGCTATCTATTTTATCCGCTCGTTTGGCCCGATTTTTCATGCGTTACTTTGTTGTAAGTTACATCTTGTAACAGGAAACTCGTATCCCTTTCCAAATTTTTCAATTCAAATCTTAGTCTGATCCAGGGAATGTAACTCCGACGAGGAGGAATGGTGAGGAGGTGAATGAGGAGGAGGATAGCGCTGAGGAGTTCCTCCTCCTTACATGAGGAGGAAATAAAAATTACCAGAATTGAGGCATATAAATTCATTTCAAACACTTCTATTGATTTTGATCGTAGCTTTTCATCGTTGGCATTCGTTCCAAATCAATTAAGACTTTTAAAATAAATTTATATGCCTCAATTTTGGTAATTTTTATTTCCTCCTCATGTGAGGAGGAGGAACCTCCTCAGCGCTCTCCTCCTCCTCATTAACCTCCTCACCATTCCTCCTCCTCGGAGTTACACTCCCTGGTCTGATCCGATCGGAATGCGGCGAAAAAAAATAATGGAGGCTTTTACTTTCAAAACAGATTGAATTAGGTCTGGTCCACCTTCTCCAATGGATTCACTTCCAGCCCACATAATATTTCAGAAGATTTTCCTAGTCTTGTTTTTGTGTTATTTCCATCCATTTTTTAACTGATCGTACTGTGTTAGTATTTCTCGGGGGTTTGTATCAAATGGATCTTGTATTAGACCATTATCAAAAGTGTTTGAATTTATGATCAAGCCGAACTTTTTCAAATCTCAAGTTAAACGAAATTTAAATAAAACTATTGAAATTTTTGAAACACAAGACACTGTCTGTTTCTTATTGAAACCTTCGATGTTTTGGCTAATTTTGTATTTTATGTGCTCCATTTGAAAATATTTTAAATGAAATTTGTTGTCATAACGACATTTTCTTTAGATAATTCTCAGGAATTCTATGTAGATTAGATGCGGTATTTTTACCAGTCCATTGATCTGATATAATTTCGTCCAATTTTTGGTTTCTTATTTCAGCGAAAGTTGGATTCGTCATCAATTGCAAGCATACATCTTGAACTGTTCATGTCAACGGAAAAAAGAAGAAAAATTAGTTATCATACATAAAATTATTCAATCGTAATTATTACCCGCCGATGCCACGAAAGTAAATACATATTTTCTTTTCAAACCAAATGAAATTGAAATTGATATATAAGAACATTAATCAAAAATAATGGTATAAGACAATTTCCACATTATTCAAGAGCCACAAATACTTCCTAAAAAAGAATTTTCATTTGCATGTGTAAGAGAGTCATTATATTTGAACTGATTTTCCCCTCACATTTAAGTGAATGTGGCGACCTCTGGCAAGGATATGAGAAGGATATGCATTGCATTGTAACTCTATTGTTGTAGTAGAACATTGTTTATGACAGCTGAAAAATCGTTTTTTGCAAAAAATATTTCATCTTGTTTCAGTGCTTTAAAAAGAAACAATTATGGCTCCATATAATAAAATACAAATTTATTCATTTTGCATTGTTTATTACCTTATCGGTTTATTCATCATCACAGCTCTTTATTTAGTTCGTTTTTTGCCTGGCTATGAAAACATTCAAAGTGGTTTAGAGAAAATATATCGAAGCTTTAATTTCACTTCAGTGGTTGTAGTTTTTCTGCATTTGTTTTGTGGTATGTCCTCTTTTCACATAATTTTGGTTTCAATGCATTCGTTTACAATTTGTTCTTTACAGTGCTATTCTTTGTGCCAATCTATGCCGTCTTGTTGGAAAAGGGTAATCGGTCCAGAAAATGGGCTTATTTAAACATACTTTTGTCATGTGGGGGATGCGAATGCTTTGATATGATGGTTACATTTTATTTGCTACCCCATGAAATCAATGTGTGGTATCTGTCGTTGGATGTCGTATGTGCTGCTTTAACTTTAATGAGCACATTGATTTGGATTTGGCATAACTTGCTTTGCATTTATTTTGAATTTCATGGGGTGAGTATGACATTGTGCATGAAAATAATATGTGTATCTACTAAAATTATTTTCTATTCAAGATGCAAGGAAAGGAAATACCATATATAGCTCCTCTACAAGCTTGGATGCGTATAATGTTCATGTTGTCCACAATCGGATCAGTATTTTTACAGTTCGCTCCAATAAATATAATTCTAGTTTTTGACGTGCAGTTGGCTTTATATATGTGCAGTACGTTAATGTATGAATCAAATCAAGCAAAATGATACTTAATTAAACTTTTTTATAGGCTTCTTCCATGTAGAATATTTGTCAATGTTAAGAGAAGCCGATGTAAAAAATGTGTCCACCAGTATCCTCTTGAACTTTGTCTCTCATCCCATTACGATATGGGTGGACCGTGTTCTCAATTGTGTCTTTATGGCATTATCGTTTTATCAATTTTATTTTCTATCAAACCTTCTTGGTTCAAATCTCAACGTACGCTATGCATCTGGTGCGGGAACGGCAATGTTTTTTAATGTGATAACTTCAATAGGTAATAATTGAATATTCCCGCATATGCTAATTGATTCTAATACTTTTTTGTGTTGTTTATATATAAATAGTGCATTGTTCATCGTTGACATCGCTTACAAAAGGAACTCTCGAGGAATATCGTCGAGGTAAGAAAGTACGTGAACAATCAACTGATGGAATTAAAACTGAGTCAATAGAAAAGCAGAATGCACCCAATGATAAATTTGTCCAAATAATTGAATGCTCTCGTAGCGCATCCATAGTGGAAAATAAGAACTTAGTATAGAAAATACAACGTGTGATTTCATTCGAAATATTACTGAGAAAGGTTATCTATTAACACATCTTAAGTTGTATGCCCTTTTTTAGAGAAAGACTTTCAACGAATCGAAGCCCAATCGTGTTGCAACAAAACCTATTTATGAATTGAAATAAAATGAAATGAGTGAAATTTTTCTATAAAACACATCAACTTTTCTCTTTGAAAAAAATGTAAAATTGTATGTTAAATATTCTCTTGTTGATTGATTGAATTGGGTATGGAGTGTGCGTGTGGCATTTTACTTGACACGTAATAGTCCAAGCGACAACATACATATTTTCTTGATGTTCAAATCATGGTTTCAATAGATGGATGTTTGGATGGAATCAAAGAGTTTTTATTGAAATTGAAAATCACAACATTTATTTTATTAAATTCATTTTTTGTTCATAACATTAAAACACATGTGCCTGCTGTTACAGCAACGGTGCGATTGAATTAATGAGAAATTTGCAATCGACTTCCAGTGCAAATCATAATGATGCCAACTTCTGCCAACTTCTGGCGCTGTGCTGACCGATATTACATCGACCGCGTTGCCCGATTGTCATTCTGAACATGATTTCTATGGAACACACGCAACGCCATCACTCGAACCGAGCAAATACGTGGCCAAAACATTTCAATCACGAAAATGATAGTAATGCTTATCAAGACATAAACATAGATGACAAAAGGATAGTAAAACTCATTTAGGGTAATCGCTTCAACATCAAATTGTTTTCTATATTGATCGTTTTTATACTCTGCTCGAGCCGACAGTGAAAACCAAAATGCTACCATCCTGTACCAAAATAGACTTAGACCATTTTCATTCAACGACTTAGTCGCCTTATCAAACTTTTCAATGGTTCGATCGGGTATATAACTGTCACTTGTAAGGTAAAAATTCGAATGCACCACACCTGAAATGAGTAAGTATTCAGAGGAAAATTTTTGTTATGGGAAATATGTATTTACCCAGAAGCTCTGTAATGACATCAAAGTCTTTATTTCTTTTGGTTCGTTTTATCGCAGAGATCATGGTATCAGGTAGAATTCGTGCCCTTGCTTTATCTACGGGGATATTCTTCAAAAATTTGTCGGAAAACCTTATCTTTGACTGCTTTTTGAGCTTTTTACTACAAACAAGTTGAATATTGGTTAAAGTCTTGCATTGAACTTGACTCGTGATTCTTGGAATCATTAATGTCGGTACACTAACAATAAATTACCTAAGTATATCCGTGATATAATGCATGTGTTCTGCGTAAAATTTACTGATATAAAATGGGACCAACTCTCTTGGCCAACTCCTCAAACGAGTCCACTTTCATGCGGATGTTCAGAAGCGAATGCATTGAATAATTGGCCAAATAAATTGGAACAAACAAGAATGCAGTGGTCAACGCGGCAGAAAGAAATAGATTTTCCAATCCATTTCGGGCTCGAAGATTTTCGTTGCCAATGACGGTGCAATATATTTCGAAAAGGCAGTGCGAAAAGCTTTCTCTTTGACGACCAGCTGGTTCTCGATTGTCTGTCGATGATTTTGCTCGCAGCAAATTTGACGTCACCGCTGCCGAACTTTTGGAAGAAAAAGAGGAGGCAACCGCCGTTTGTAAATTGTAAAAAAAGATTGGCAACCAATGTCTCAATTCAAACGAACAAATAAAAAAAATCAATCAATTGAAACCAAGTGTTCCCACACACAATAAAATGAAACAGGAGGAAGATTCCGTAAGAGGCGGTTGGAAATCTGATGGTCCGGCTGTATCACTTGTGGAACGACTGCTGTTTCCGCCAGTTTCTAGTGAATGAGCTGGATCAAGAAGCATTCGTTGGGCTAATATTGCTTCAATTTCAGAATTCTTTTCTCCAGTTGTTGACTGAAAATTCAAAAATTGAACCAATGCAACAAATACCTGAATACCAATAACAATATCGGTATACAACACAGTTGCGCTGTGTAATGAACAAATAACTACCGTGCTCTTGCCAATACTCCTTCTTCCGTCTCAAGAATTTCTATACAAGTGTTCAATTCCTTTAGATGTTTTTCATCCACGTCAAGTATCCTGAAAAGGGCAATTTATTTAATTGGTTAAATACTAATTGTCCACGGGGGCTATTATTCGATTATAGTACTTACAAAAGAATATTGTCGAGAACTAACAGTATTTGCTCATAGCCTTCTATCATTTCTTGTCTATTCACTTTGAATTCTGACAAATTGTTGGTATATAATTCATATTGTGAATTTAAAGACGATCCAAAATTACTCGCTTGGCTACCACTATCTCTTTTATTGCTCGTTTGATTCATTTTCGTTGATATTTCTATTTTTTTCTTTTGAATCACGTATGATGCCTTGAATCGAATAGATGAATGTAAACAAAAAACGGATAAACCGTAACCGATACCGAAACCGAATACTTGTTCGTATTCGCTTTGCTATCGGGTAACACTAAAATGGCCGACCGTCATCATCTGTCAAACACATGATGTTAGATTAAGTTGTATACAAAACATTTTTGCGGCGGCAAGCAAACCTCTTGCTTTCATTGGAAAATTCTTTTTTGTCGCAATAGAATCGAAAGTTTTTGCAGTTTTTTTAAAACTAGTTTAGTTCCGAATAATTATATTTTGTGTAAAGTGGTTAATAACATTGATTTGCTTGTTTAATAAGTCGAATTGAGATGGATTCGAACGAAGTGGGAGAGAAGCCAATATGTGAACTAGATGAAAAAAATTTATCGAGTAACATAGATACAGAAGCGTTGAATCCAGATGTTAAAACTGATGCAAATATGTCGAATGACGAGAGTGATGCCATCGGTAGTTCTACCGTCGAAGACAGCAACGTAGAGCCCATTGCAACAGATGCAATGCCGGCAGTTGAAAGCGTAGAACAAAAAAAATCAGAAGATAAATCGAAAAATGATCAACAAGAACATAACAATGACAACGAAGGAGATGATATGGACAGCGACATTGAAAAGTTTCATACACCTGACGCAACTGACACTGAATCAGTGCAAGATAAATGCGACCAAGACCCCATGGATATTGACGAAATCCTCGAGAGTTTGGACGTGGATCCAGAGGTAGTCGCAAGCGGCGAAGAGTATTGTGAAGCAAAATCACACGCGGCAACTGAGGAGGAACAGCCCCAAATTGACGAGCCAGTCGTCGACAGAATGGAAAATGGTGAGAAATTTTTTAGTCATTTTAGCTCACACGATGGATACAAATTTTTCGTTTATATTTACAGAAGTAAGGGAGCAAGCTCAGGTGCAGTGCGATGAAGCCATTGATATTCCAAATAAGGAAGAGTCATCAGTGGCGGAAATTGAACAAATTCATTCGCCTGCAAAGAATGATATTGATTTGCCCAAAAATCCGATTGAAACGATAGAGAATGAGCTGAAACCGGCTGAAGGTGTGGTGGAATTGGACAAAGAAGCACCCACATCGGATGTCTCAGTTGAATCAGTGAAAGAGGACATTCAAATGCATCAAGATGCAATTGAATCATCGCCAGTGACTGAATCGAACGAAGAAGGCGATGATGTCGTTGCAACAGTCAAAACTCCAGATCAGAATCAGGAGCAAGCTGAACAAAGTGATGACAATAAATTGGAAGACGGATCTGTGAATGAATCGGTAAATATTTTCGATTTGATGATGGAGAATGAAAATTTATTTGCCGGAGCTGATTTGAGCTTAGACGAGTCGATGAAATCAATTGAACCCAGTGAAATAATCGAACCCGACGTACCGATGTGTGATGCGGAAACGGGAAACAATTTGGATACTACCAAAACTGAAGAAATTCCTACATTGCCCGAAAGCAGCATAGAAAGTCTACAGGGAAACCTAGACATCACAAGTAAGGAGGGGCAAGTGACAGAAGAACAACTGAAAGAAGAACAAGAAGCAAAAGTTGAAACCAATAAAGAGCTCAAGTTCGAACATGCCACAAAAGAAAAAGAAGAAGTCCAAACCAATGAAGTCGAACCGCCATTGAAAGCTGAAGAGCAATTTAAAATCGAAGACAAGAGTCTATTGCGACGCGAATGCTTGAATGGAGAGTGCACAAAGAGCAATGGCTTATTTCACGAAGCACCTGAATTTGTTATCAATCATTTCCATTTGAATAAACGATCGAAAACGATGTTTGTGTGTGAAGAATGCTACAATCTCGCCACGGAATCGTACGGTGAGTTGTGTGCTGCATTGGAAGATAAACAACCGCTGTTCTTGAAAAATATCAAGTACTCGGATCTAGTCGAAATCATAGATAGCAGTGACGAAGAAGAAGATAACGATTCCAAGGGAGAAAGACGTGAATCATTCGATGCGGACACTTTGGCATTGATTGAAAATGAATTGGAGGCAGTGATAAAAGAAACATTGGATAGAGTTGATATTGGACAGCAAATGAGTTGGAATCGTCAAATTTTAACGACGAAAATTGCGAACAATGAAAAGAACTGCGCCGAAATGATGGACGAAATGAAAATATTGCAAAAACGAATCGATAAACTGTACACCAATACGTATAATTTCAAGCATTCGTTCTTTGAAGACGTACAATCGCTCGATCTCGTCACTTTGAAACCAACTCAAATATGCAACGAAAGCTATCCACCAGTTGGTGAACTGAAGCACTCAGATATTGAGTATAACACGATGTATTACACATTTCGTCATAAGCTCGTATCACGCTGGCTGCCATGCAAAGTGGTGAACAGAATTGAGACAAATGGCCAGATGGAATACAAGATTCGGTTTTGCCGGGAGAGAAAGGAAGCGGCCAACGTTAGAACGGTGCCACGAAAGTATTTGGCATATGGTCGAGCTTCTAATTATCGTCTGAACATTGGCACTCGTGTGATTGCTTTGTTTGACAATGCCGACAACACTCAGAAAATCAAAACTTCGCAGTTGCAGAATAATTTCTATCCGGGCATAATTGCCGAACCGTTGACCGTATACACGAATTGGCGATATTTGGTATTTTTCGATGATGGATGGGTACAGTATGTTCACCATGAGGATATCCGTGTCATTTGCGAATGTACCGAAAATGTTTGGGAACTGATCGAGGAACCAGGCGCAAAAACATTCATTGAGGGCTATTTGAAAAAATTCAAACAGAAGCGACCCATTGTTCAGGTAAGTTCTTTGTGAGAATATCTAACTTTGTCCATAACGAAAACCAGCAGCATTGACATTTCAATCAAATATTTTAAAATCGCTCAATCATTCATTCAGGTTCGTCGAGGTCAACGCATCCAAACGGAAGTGAATGGAAAATGGTTCAATGCAATTGTGAACGAAGTGGACGCCAGCTTGGTGCAGGTATTTTTCGAAGAGACCAAACGATATGAGTGGATCTATCGGGGCTCAACGCGCCTATTCCCGCTATACAAAAAGCTCAATCACGTGAAAGCGTTCGCAAATCGAAACGAAGCTACAATTGAATACATCGTAATTGACGATGAAAAAGAACCGGAACGAACAACTGAGCCGCCGGTTGAAGAGGTGGCACCAGAACCCAATACACCACCATCAAAAACGGCCCCAATTCTGCGAACGTTTGCATCTCAGGCAGCTCGAGATACACCGCAACAAAAGCAACGCGAACAAAAACGGGCGGTGGCTAAGAAGAGTACGACGCCACAGCCCAAACCAGCCATTCAACACATGAACAATTCAACGATCTATGTGGACGAAGACAAACCGAAGGGTAAAGTAGTGTACTACACCGCCAAGAAGCATATCGATGTGAAAAAATATTTGAATCATGAATGTCAGCCCAGTTGCTTGATCCAGTTGAATCATAACTTGGCGTCCTATTCGCCATTATCTAAGCCATTGTTGACAGGATTCGAACGACAGATTTCCAAGACTAGATTCAATAAGAAATATGTCGTTTATCGAGCGCCGTGTGGACGTCGATTGCGAGATATGTCCGAAATGCATAAATATCTACGAATCACCAACTGCAAACTCAATGTGGATAACTTCACCTTTGATCCGTTAATCCATTGTCTGGCTGAGTATGTCATCGAATCGTTTGTGATGAAAAATCCCGATTTATCAGGTGGAATTGAAAAAATGCCAATCCAACTGGTCAACTGTTATGACAACAGTATGCCACCGCCATGCACATACTCGGCAAAACGAATCCCAACGGAAGGTGTAAATTTGAATTGTGATTCCGAGTTTTTGTGCGGCTGTGATTGTACGGATGATTGCTTGGATAAATCGAAATGTGCATGTTGGAAGTTGACATTGCAAGGTTCAAAGTATGGAAATCCAGATACGCCAATCGAAGACATTGGCTACCAGTACAAACGTCTCAATGAACCCGTGCCAACGGGCATTTACGAATGCAACAGTCGATGCAAATGCAAGACCAGTTGTCTAAATCGGGTCGTTCAGCATCCGATACAGTTGAAATTGCAAGTATTTAAAACGGTAAATCGTGGCTGGGGCATCAGATGTTTGAACGATGTTGCCAAGGGTAGCTTCATTTGCTGCTATGCAGGCAACTTGCTGACTGAAAGCAATGCTAATGAAGCCGGTGGAGATTTAGGTAAAAACAAACAATCTCATTCAACATGCAAATGTGATTCTTCAAAACGTTTAATTTGAATCTTTTGATTTTTGATACAGGCGACGAATATTTCGCGGAATTGGACTACATTGAAGTAATGGAAAACATGAAAGAGGGTTATGAACCGGAGGTTGTTCCAGAGGAGAATGAAACATCGGACGAAGACGAAGACTTTGACGTTGAAATGGAATCGAGGCGTACGCGTAACGATGACAGTGATGATGAGTTCGTCTCAAGAAGCTATACCGCAAGCAGTGAAGATTCGGAGAGTCGACGATATCGAACACGAAATTCCGTTGACACACGCAAAAAGTCAGAGGCAGCAACAGCCAAAGATGCGACAAAACGCAAAGATCGGAATAGTTCTTCGGACGATGACGGCGATGAGGTGAGACAAGCGAAAAATTTCATGGCCAGCAACACGATGCCATTGAATGATGATCCAGACGATGAACGATCCAAATCGATTCGGAAATTATTCGGACCGGAAGAATCTGTTTACATTATGGATGCAAAGAAAGCCGGAAATATTGGAAGATATTTCAACGTAAGTGTACAATATGATTCAAACTGAGGAGCTTTATACTAACGTTTATTATTTTTTTATAATTGCAGCATTCATGCGGACCGAATCTCTTTGTGCAAAATGTCTTTGTTGACACACACGATTTGCGATTCCCGTGGGTGGCATTCTTTGCATCCACGCACATTCGAGCCGGCACCGAACTCACCTGGAATTACAACTACGAAGTGGGCAGTGTCCCAGGCAAAGTGCTCATTTGCCAGTGCGGCGATGAGAAATGCCGTGGCCGTATTTTGTAAACTCATCTCAATATCAAGCCAAATTCAGAACAACTCATTCCCAACTATATATAATTTATCAGAATAAATACACAAAATTCATATCCTACAAATCTTTATGGTTTATTGAATCCAAAATTCAGTCCAAAAACATCTAATCCTACAATATTTCAACTTAAATTCATTTCGCTTTGTTTATTTTCATAACTCAAATATAAAAAGTAACATTTGTTTATTCCATTGGTAACTTTTCGTGGATTAATTGAAAGCAATCAAAACTCATGCCATCAGAATAACTCCAAATGCCAAAACCAAGATGATGCCCATGATGCACGACGTTGAATTTCGATCATCTTCAAGTTTGTTTCTGGTGTTTTCCACTTTGTTGCCAAGTAATTCGATTCGGAGATGTAAATCGTCACTTTGCTGACCATCAATGTGTTCGTCAATAGTTTTTCACGCTCACAATTCATTGCGACTGAATCGATGGCCCCGTTTTCATCCAAAAGTGGGTTGTCGACGATGACCTTCTTCAACTTGATTGACCATTGAATAAACGGTAGAATGTCACCGATATGGGCCACCCAAAAACGAACCTCTTCGAGATGTTCAAGGCTCCGCGCTAGTTCCGCTTTGTTTGTGATGTTTTTGATGTTCTCTGGAGGCGTTTTGAATGACAGCACTTTAAGGTTTACTAGTCGTGACAAATCGATCCCTTCTATTATATCGTACATGGCGAATCCAACGAGTGATTTCAGCGAGTTCAGTCGATCAATATTCTCTTGATAGGCATCCGACGTAATATACAATTGTTTGTACACGTCCTTGGAATGTAGAGTATTCAAGAGATCACAGACAGCCGGTTGTGTGGAGCCAAAAATAAACAGGTCGTCCAATTTGACTTTCTTCAATGAGGATTTGTTCAACAAGCAAAACGATGATACCGTTGAAAATGAACGAATGGCCGGATTCAGTTGGAAAAATGTTTGCAATAAGTGCGTTTTTTCCGCCAGATACCACGCAAAGTGCTCCAGTTTTGGGTATTTCCGGCTGAGCCACTCATCATCATTGGCATCCCAAATCTCCAAACGTTGTAGGTGTGCACAAAGTCCGTCAAAAAAAATTTCATTTTTCTTCAAACGAAACACTTTATCAAATGCAGCATGTTCGATTTTGATTGGAATTCGTTTGGGCATCTTTTTTATGTGAGAGAAGAGATCCAACCAGAAAAGCACTCGCTTGACCGATTCGAACCGCTTCCAATCAACTTCGGTCAATTGGCCTGAAACAGTCAGGACTTTAGCATATTTTCGTAGGCCAACATATTTGCTATCATGGTAGATAACATGTTCTGTCAATCGTTGTTGATAAAAACGGCCAACAGCTCGTTGCATACGTTCGCATGTTTGCCCCAGAGAATGTAGATCGTCGATTGGCAGATAATCCAACAATTTATTCAAGCCATCACAATCCTTAGAGTCCATCAGTTTGAAGATTGGTGGCGGTTGGTCCGTTACCGTGTTCTGTTGCCGCTCATTTACTTTGCTCGTCTGTTCCTCTTCCATATTTTGTGGATCCATTGTGATTTGTTGTGGTCATTAGTTGTGAAGAGATTGAATTGCGTGATAGACCAGTGAAGTTAGTTCTAATGAAAATTACATCAATAGAAAATGCCTGGTTATAATATTGATAATCTCAAAAAAAAAATACATTTTGAATGTTGTTTAATGAAAACAAACCGTATCAAAGCCTATATTCATAAAACAAAATGTGGACTCAGCGATTGGAAATGGTATCGAAAATTTTGCGTAGGTCGTTGCTGCACGTACAAAACAAACTGATTCTTGTTATTTCACAATCGAATGAAAAAACTTAAACGTGTGATCACAATATTTATCGGAATATATTATTTTTCGCTCGAAAATGTGATGTATTCAATTTAAATAATTGTGAACAATGGAATTTCTTCAAAAATCAACCCAAATGTTGTGAATGTTCGATATGGTCTGTAAACAAAGACTTCCACTTTTCGCTCGTTAACCGGTATAGTTGACAGTTAGTTCAGGGGGCAACCACAGGGCGGCAATTCAGACATCAGTGAACATCAACGAACTGTCAAATAATGAAAAAGTGATGCTTGCAGGCAGGCACTTCGTACCAAAGAATCAAATCCAAAAGAACTCCGTTCCAATTATCAGAATAAATGCAAAATGAACACACTGATTTATTTCATACAAATTGTTTAAAGTTTATTGATGAATTGGTTAAACATTTTCGCTCAACGGTTCAGTTGAGATCAAGGTGATCGGAAATGAAGATGAAGCGAAAAATTTGGTTATTTTAGAGAATTTTTTTCTTATTTTCTGTAAGTTGCTCTTAATTTCTTAGCCGATTAATCCACCACGAAGTGCCAGGACCAAATGGAGAACCGAACCACCTTGAACCTTGTAATCGGATGCCGTTTTGTCGTCATTCCTACACAAAGAAATAAAAAGACAAAAAATGGCAATAATTTTCCATACAAATACACTTTGGATTGATCAATGGGAGAAATTCCTTACATTTGCTTTCCGGAAAAGATTAAACGTTGTTGTTGTGGTGGAATTCCCTCCTTTTCTTCGACCCGTTCCTTGATACGGTCGACTTTGTCCGTGGGTTCGATATCGATTTCGATTTCTTTTCCAGTCAATGTCTGAAAAATCAGTGGAAAAAATATTAGTTTTTTTTTTGTTTGGGGCACAAAACGTAATCTGCTCTTTGCAATCGGTGAAACATTGATGTGCCGCAATACAACAACACACGAGCTACTTTGAAGCCGTGAACTGTCACAGTAATCACAAAAATTAGCGAAAAATATACATTACCTTCACTTTGATCAACATGTTGATGGTGCTTTCTTTATTTGTTTTTAATGTAATGAATCAACGAAAAAGAAAATTTTCTACAGAAATCTGAGTCCGCAATTGTGAAACGCACCAAACGAAATGTTTGTATCTCTATCTGAATGTAAATGTAAATGCGATTGCAAATTCTGACAGTTGAACGAACCAACGAATGAGTGTACTGTAGGTCTTGTTCACAGACAGAATTCGCTCTTTTAGCAAAATCATTCACATATCAAGTGTGAAACGGTTTTTTTTCGTGCGGAATTTTTGTGTAATTCGTCTAATTTTTTTGATAATACTGTAATCATGGTAAAAATATTCTTAAATATTAAAAATAAATGCAATCAATTGTGAAATTGAATAATTTTCCTTTCAAAATGACTCACCGCACACGCATGAGAACGAGCCCTAACGTCAACCGGTAAGTTTTGTGTTACGTATTACGTACACGTTAGCGGCTTGTCAAACCGTACGTATGAATTTTGTTTCAGTGGATGACGTCCGACGTATTATCCATCTTTTCTTCTAGGCAAATTCAGCAAGGTATGACACGATTCTTTGTAGTGCTTGAGATTTTTTCGAAAAAATCCGTGAAATTACTGAAACAGTGATCAAATATCGTCAAAGAAATATTTCTAAGGGCCATTTCTATAATAAAAGCATTGATTTTTGTATCGATGCCCTAAAATTTCCATGATGTTTTGTGATTAAATTTCGTTGTGCAAATGAACTGTACTTCTTTGGCGTGTGATGATTGTTTCGTGTTTCGTATGGTCCATAATGACTCCTGATTGGATTACCTTTTCTAACAAAAACATGAACTCGATTTGAATGTGAAAGTGTTTTTATGAAATAAAATGAGTAACATTTTGGAAATTTTCTCTTTTTTCCCCAGATGGTAGCATCAAAAATCATTAAAGCGGGAGGCGCTGAGCCTGATGAGTTCGAAAAAACCGTCAGCCAAGCTTTGCTTGAATTGGAGTTGAACTCCGAATTGAAACCACAATTGCGCGACCTGCACATCACACGTGCTCGTGAATTGGAATTTGCCACCAAAAAGGTAAGCGAAACGCATCGCAAGTGTGCAAAGTTGTGAATAACAAATGAAATCCATTCGGAAATGTGTTTAGTTCAGTTCAACCAAACCAATGTGTTGATAGTGACAATAACCTCAAATTTCGCATTTGATCTCGTGTATCGGTGAAGTTAAACTAAAAACACAAATTTCAACGAACAACTCAAGTGCGATAGAGCGAATACCATTTTCCTATTTACCATTTAATGTAAATTCAATTACTAAATGGATATATAAATGGTGATAATTTTGTGAATTAAAAAAATCGTCTGTGTTTGTAAAGTGGTCAAAGCGAAATTGACTCGTGCAAATCCGTTTGCATTGTTGACATAAAGCCAAGTAGAAATGATATGATTCGAAACCGTAACGAACGAAGAGAAATGATTTTGAAACACATTTTCGAATGTATTAAAAGGTTTTTAACTTGGCGGATTTTTTTAATGAACCGATTTTCTTTCCAGGCTATCATCATCTATGTTCCAGTGCCGAAACAAAAGGCCTTCCAAAAGATCCAAACCCGTCTTGTTCGTGAATTGGAAAAGAAATTCTCCGGCAAGCATGTTGTGTTCGTTGCCGAACGTAAAATCTTACCAAAACCCCAACGTAACACTCGCAATCCATTGAAGCAAAAGCGTCCACGTTCCCGAACATTGACCGCTGTCTTCGATGCCATCTTGGAGGACTTGGTTTTCCCAGCTGAAATCGTTGGAAAACGCATCCGTGTCAAGTTGGACGGCTCGCAATTGATCAAGGTTCATCTGGACAAAAACCAACAAACCACAATTGAACACAAGGTAAATATAGATTCTGGTCCGTCTGTCCACATCGACTCCAATTGCCATCGTGTTGCTCGTATGATTAATTCCCAAATCAATGAGTGTCTAAATATTTGGCATAAATTGAAGTGCCTCTTAAGCTTTACACATTGATTCGATTTCACCGAATCCGTGGGATATTACAAGAGGACACATTATTCCGGATAAATTCAGTGTTTTACACCAGTTCAATCGATCGATCGATGTAGCAGTGGCAGCAACGTGTTGTGAACAATAAGATTTAGTTGAAAATCCTTTGATAAAAGTTTAAAAAAATATTCCACCCATTTCTAACGTGGATAGATAATTGCAATTGGTCGAACGATTTGAATTATTGCCATCGTGTTGCTCATATGATCAATTCCCAGATCAATGAGTGTCTAAATATTTGGCATAAAGTAAAACAATCCATTTAAAACTTTACTGTTTTTTCTACTCAAAATGAAACTATCAGATATACGAGATGGAAACAATCTATTCCAACCAACTCTGAATTAAGACATCCAATCAAGTTTTGATAAAATTACTAATGCATTTTGTGCTTGTTTCTTTTTATTTCCTTGTAGGTCGATACATTCACTTCAATCTACAAGAAATTGACCGGCCGTGAAGTTACATTCGAATTCCCAGAACCTTACTTATAAGGAGATGGTTGCAACCACCAGCAAAAAATAATGCATTGAATATTTTTATTCGATTAAACCGAAAACAACAATGAAAAAACACACTGTCTTTTATTTTTGTATACGTCACTTATTCGTTCTACTCAAAAAATGAACAAAAAAATCATTTGAATAGCTCCTACATCAGACAATCAGTAGCCATGAATACAAAAATAGTTCCAGCTGATAGCAATAGTAAGTATAACAGCTCTGTGTGTTACGTTCAAAGATCGTCTTATGCTTTCACGTGTTTTCTTGTCGAAATGGTCGATCATTCATTCTGTGAACTGATACGCATTCTGAACTTCATAACAAAGATGGAAATTGGAAGGTAAAATTATCAACATAAAATATTTTGTATGATTTTATTCGCAATAATTGACAATGTTTGTGGTAAGAAACAAATTTATATTTTCAGTGATTTCTATTGAAATATTTCATCAACTTCAATGCGCTTAATTGACCTTTTGAGAAAAACGCCGAAAAAACTGTTCATTTCGAGCAATCAAACATTAACTCAATTCAAAACTTATCAAAAATAGTTGCGATTATTGTGGTAAGCAAAAGCCGGGTTGAAATTAGTAGGAAACATTCGGAATATCACGTTGTATGGATTATTCTGAATTAGGAACGTCGACAACACTGGTGGCAGAGGACGGGGAGGAGATGGAAACAATCAATCCCGAAGTTTTTTCCTTCAATAATTGACTGAAAATATAAAAAATCGAAAATGTGTGTGCTGAAAAACGAAAAAAATAATTACTGTTTCAATGCAAAATGCTGTTCTTTTCTGTTCAACATGTTATAAAGTTCCTTAAAATCCTTCAGGTGTGTTTGATTGTAGTCCATTTTACTGGACACGAAATAATTTTAACAACTCTAATTAGGTTTTGATAAATTTACCAACGCATTCTATGCTTCTTTATTTGTGTTCTCCTACAGGTCGATACATTCACTTCAATCTACAAGAAATTGACCGGCCGTGAAGTTACATTCCAATTCCCAGAACCTTACTCATAAGGAGATGGTTTCAACCACCAACAAATATGATGAATTGAATATTTTTATTCGATTAAACCGAAAACAAGAATAAAAAATACACTGTCTTCTATTTCTATATGCATCATTCATTTGTTTTACTCGAAGAATGGAAAAAAAGAAACTCATAAAATATCCAGTAGCCATGAATACAAAAATAGTTCCAGCTGAAAGCGATATACGTATATCAGCTCTGTGCGATACATTGAAAATTCGTCTTATGCTTTCACGCATTTTCTTGGACCGGTGCCTGTTTTGACTTCATTACAAAGATGGAAATCAGAAGGTAAAATTATCAACTTGGAATATCTTCTATGATTTTATTCGCAATAATTTACAGAAACAAATTTTTTTTCGTAATTTCCTTTAAATCGTCTCATCTCATCAATTTCAATGAGCCTAGCTAACATCAAACGAAATGGTTCATTTCGTAGCGTCGAACATTATCTCAATACAAAAGTCATCGAAAACTATCGGCAATTTGAAATTCGACCATTAACGAATACCACTGCAGTGAAAATGGTCTGTGTACAAAGCAAACTAGGTGGTAATGTCATGCGCCATATCAATACATAAACATCGCATCAACTTACACGGAACGTAACATAAATCAAGAGAGCGTCAACCAAAATCCTTACCGCCGTTTGATTGGTTTGAAAGAGTAAAATGAACACACAGTTCATGTAAACTAACTGTCACAGCACTCGTTGCGTTTCGGCAATATCGGTTTGTCTGTGCCTGTTGAACACAAGTGCTGACCAGCACAATGATAAATGTTCGTGTTTGTTTCAGTTAGAAATTAGCACTCATCTATTTTAAATGTTTCGCTCGTCCGTCTTAGTGTATTAAATGATTTTATTTTTAATTTTGTATATTGTGATAACTACGTTGTGAAAGAGAGTAAATAAGCCATCAAAAAATCCATAGGATTTGAACAATGTGAAATTGATTTAGAATAAGAAAAGGAAAAGATAATGCGCTGAATCGAAGAAAGTCCAAAAAGTGAAAACCGTATTGTTCATGTCACCTTTCATTCTGTGTAGTTTTTTTTTGTATGTGAAACTTTGTGTTTGTAAAACAAAATCATATGTAGAAAATAAGTATTGAATTTAACACGACATTGAATTATCTATTGAAATGGCGCGTATGATGAAAGATCAAGCCATTCAACGCTCATATTCGAGTCCATTATTCATCCGTGAACCAAATGACGATCGGACACCAAACGAACATCTTGGATCCGTGACACCATCGAAAAATGTCAATGATTTAGGTAAGCTATCGGTTTTTCGTTCGATGTCAATTGCATGTCTCCTTCCGTTCGGAAACAAAATGAAAAATGTTGTGCTAGTCGTAAAATAAAACATAACGCTGACCTAGTTCAATGCGCCCATCATCATGAAATTATTGATTAATTTTCAACGTTCAATAAATGCTTCAACACATACAAAGTGGCAAAGCCTTGAGAAGACGAATGAGAGAGTAAAAGAAACAATGTGTATAAGGATTGAGTGATTAAAATTTAATAACAATTTACTCAAGACATTAAACAGTTCATAGGCGTTCAATAACCGAGTAGCATAGAAGAAAGCAGTGTGAATAAAAAACATTGCGCATGCAAAACGAAACGAAAAAAAAGCAATCTGGAAATCGCATAGAGAACAATCAAATGTGCGACAAAAACATACATGATTGCAACACCACACACAGCAGTGTATGCTAGCGATTGGCAGTAGGCTTGCAAAAGGTGGCTGGAGCCAAGCAATTATTTACTCATAAGAAAAATATGTATCGCAAAACTTCCCGCAAATCATGCGAACGAAACACAACGACGACGATGATGCGCGATAGACGTTTTTCTATTTGTATCGGAAACAAAGCAATCCAAGCAAAAGCGAATGAGGATTCCATCATTAGTATTTTTCTGTTTTCATTTCTACATTTCTCTCTAATTCTATTTCGAAATTCACATCTCTCACGCAGCATAACTTATACGAATTCCGGCTTTTTTTTCCTTCTTCATTGCAACGTTGGTAATTTTTCCCAGTTTTATCACAAAACAGTATCGGGTTTGTGCATAGTCTTCGCATTAGTCTTCAACCACTTTTTTTATGTATGTATCACACATTAAATGCAAGCAGCATGAACACAAATCAAAAAAGCCGGTATGTGATTGTATACACCGGCCTGTCGTTCTTGCCACCGTGTTGCTGCGTTCATGTGATTCTTTTTTTCTCTCTCCATATTCAATTTTCAAGTGCACGACAACCGGGATACAACAACAATAACGTGCAAACCGAACAAGCGTGATTCGTTTATGGCATGGTAAAATGTACCGCATAGCGTGCAACGCATCATAATATTGGTATGGTGTGTATGGAACGAAGAACGCGCGCGCACATGGCGCGGTATATCGGTATTCGATGATAAATAAGTGAACAGACAAATACCATAGAATATGTTTAACCCTATTATCTGGCACTTTGCCTATTGTGATCAACGTTTTGGTTCTCATCATCAACGAACGCATTTAACACACAACAGAACATCGTGAGGTTGATTGTAGCGCATATTTGGTTAGAAAGAAGGAAAAAAAGCATTTTCAAAAGAAACCGTATCGTATGAAAAAAAAAATCAGCCGCACCAAAGCCAATAGAATGAAGCACACACACAATTCATTAAAAAACAACTGAAACAAGATAATAACATTTAGTGAGCGAAGCAACGAAAAGTCATAGGCAAATTTAGTTTGCGCTCACATATTTGAATACAATAACGAGCCGCAGCAAATACGAAACAGGCGAAGAAACGAAAACACAATGCCGTGATGACAGAAAATACATTCACCAGCCATTTTATGAGTTGATAAAGTGATGAACTGTAGTGTGTCTTCGCCTCTAAAATGAACAAATCGAAACTGAAATAAAACTGTTCATTGTTCAAATTCATGAAATTAATATGCTTTTTCTCCGGAATTTCCGATTCTCGATTTTCTGCTTAAACAACCGTGCAGCATTCCCCCGAATTAACTCATCTAATCGTTTTGTGTGTGCACATGATCTCTTTGAAATTAGAACGTTGGCATACGCATCGCCAGCACAAAACACCACGGAAGACACAAACTGAAACTGAATTGCAATTTCCCCTGAGAGATGGCAAAAACTAAACCAGAACCCGGCCAGCTGTAACAGGTTCAAGTAACGCTAATTTTGGCTGTATCAGTTTATCAGAAGGCGAAGAAGAAAGAATGAATTCACCTTTCCATACACAATTACAAAGCCATCATATGGTATTAATAAAATGTCTTCATACAGAAGAAAAAAAATGGTTTAAAGAAGAAAATAAAATGCATTCCGAATTCAAAACGTTCCGCATCACGGAATTATCAACAGTGCATAAACCGCGCTCATATCTAAACGAGTTTTACCACAAAGGCAGCAGGCACATTTTGCTGTATTTTCGTCAGTTTGTATGAGAGAATGAGAGATGCGATTGAACCTTTATATCATAATGTGATTCCTTTATTATTCGATTTTCCTCTCATTTGAAATCATGGCCTGGCCTGTGAATCCAACAACAAGTCTCATCTCCCTCGGTCACTTGTTAATGATGATTGTTCGACAAGCGCTCACACTGTGTACTGTTTTGTTTTTGTGTTTTGATTTGGTGTATTCGCCTGTTTCATTTCATTTCTGTAATTGTGATTCAGTGTGTGATTTTACACTGACTTGCTACTACTGACGGGCTGAGTTGAGAGTCTGACTGTTGCCGCTGCTGCTGCTGCTCTGTGTGTATGTCGGCAATAGTTTGGTGAACGTGTTATTTCTTGTTCACTCAGTCAACGTTTGAACCTCGTCGACATAACATCACATTACATGTGCGCGCTCTACAACATTGACTTACGACTATATGATTTTAACGACTCAGCGAGAGAGAGAGAGAGAAAAAAAGTGGCCCAGTGAAGAAGAAGAAAGAAAAGCCGTTGAATTTGCATTGAATTATTTAAATCGGAAAAAGTTTTTTTTTCTTGAGACGAACGACGAAAAAGTCAGAGACTTTAGTTCGGAGTAAATTTAGAAGTTGATAAGAAGGGAAGAAAACATAGTGTGAAAAGTTCATCAGCCGATCACTCACAGTAAATTGCTATTGACTGTGTATTTAAGTGATAAGAGTTAATCTTAGACTGCAACGTTAGTAACGTATTTTCAAAAGGAATATTTTAATCCGTTTCACACACAAAAAGGGACCAGCAAATGGATCGTGTTTATTTGACATAGGTGACTAAGTCATATTATCTCGTGTATTTGCACGATTTTGCAGCGACAAAATTCTATTCATGTACATGTTCATTCTCATTCATGCTTGTGTTTCATGGGTTGCTATTACTACTGCTGTTGCTGTTGCTGGTGTTGTGCATGACAAAGCATATGACGAATTCCATTCCGAACTGTTCTTAGTGAATGTCTACTACGCTTTTTGATTTAACTGTGCGTGTTTTTTGTTCGTATCTTAATTTCTGTGTGTATATCATTTTTGATGACCATACCTTTCATCTCTGATAGCGTGCGCATAAAAACAAAAATTTCGATTTTCTAAAGAGTGAAACAAAAGATAGAGCGTGAAAATAGAAATAAGCACAACGATAAACAACGAAACAGTGCAATCAACTGGTTGCTTTTACTTTTCGGGTAATTATTCCACACATCGACTTACAGATTTGTAAATGGCCACTTTTTTTTGGTTGGTTTCTACACACACCGTTTGTTGAACTGGACTTGTTTTTAATTCGTGTGCGCTGATCAAAACCATTCGCTTCACCGCATTTTTTTTGTGTCGGGCATTCAATTTTTCACGTTCCGAATGAATATATGATGGATGTGATTGATATATCTGGAAATACGGAACTGGTGTGTGTTTTTGTTGTTGTTATCGTTGTTCAATGTGAAGTGAATGAATGATTTTTTACTGGTTTCGATGCTGAAACCGTTTTTTTCTTCTCTCATGTGTATCAATAAAATATTCACCGAAAGGTTATTGCCATCTGTCTAATTTGTGTGCCATTAATTCGAACATGTCGGACAATTATTTATGTTTGTCCGTCATTTGTTTATTCATTATTCGGGATAATTGCGCGCTGATGCAAATAAATCGAAAATTGAATTAATGAGTGACACGATCGAATCATTCAAAAAGTAAAACCGCTATTCGTTGGTTACAAATCGATCGAGAAATTCCTTAACATTGAACTCACATTGAGGGAGAGAGAAGAAAAAAAAATGCGTGCGTGCGTGCGTGTGTGAACAAAAGGTGCTTTCGAACAGCAATCATGGAATTTTTATGTGGGAAAGCGATGATCTGAATTATTTTGGTGATGCTTTTCGCAATATATAAATAGCGTCAAAACCAGTGCCGTCGTTGCGCATTCGCGCCCCAATTAATTAACATAGTGAACTTTTGTGATTTTTGTCTCTGGTGTTTGTTTGTTTTGCCTTGCTTTGCTTCGCACTGTTTGTGTATCCTCTTCTGCCGCATTTCGCTATAGGTTTTAATTAATGGGTTTCGTTTGCTTCAACATTTTGCATTACCATGCACACAATTCAACACAACGCAACTCAGCACAACACAACAATAAATCTTCATTTCTTTGTTATCGCTTTCGTCGCGAACACAATAGTGGCATAGGAAATGGATGGAATGATATAATTGTTTGTTTATTTTTTTTTTCGTGTGTTTCGGTTTTTCAGACTCGACATGTATAACGCCAATTTTAAATTCATGCTCATCAACGGCTTCACAGCGATCGAGTCTGTCAGTCACACCGCCTAAGTCGAATATAACCACCTATTTGACACCACGAAGCAGTCTAACATCCGATACGTTTGCCGACTCAACAGCGGTGGATTTTTACTCATTTGCCACCGATTCGGATGATCTTAATGAGACGGTCACCAATAGCACAAAAAATTCAGTGTATGAAACGTGTATCGGAGCATCGGCTCGTCTGTTGGAAGCAACACGATCGGTTCGTCAACGGTTGCGACCACTGAGGCAAGCTAGCAGTGAATTTCTCAGTAGGCTACCGAAATTGCAACATTTATCAATTGTGCGAGCATCACAAATCAATATACGCGGTGATCAAGCCAAGAAACCGGAACACACCTGCACATGTAAGGCCGGCCTATTCGATGGTAATTGCTTGAAGACATTTATGGAGATGTCTGTGCAACCGGCCGAATATCGAAATAATTCACAAATGATGACCTCCACACCGCTGATCACAAAGGATGTCTACGATCATGGTATTTTCAATGTGGCCCGCATCAAAAAGGTGGAACTGCATGATCTAACGCCAAAAGTGCCCGAGTTCCACGGTAAGTTTGAGTTGTCAGTAAATTTTTTTCCCCATCAAACCAAAAATGCTTATTTTCAAATTGATCTTTCACATAACCCAAACTGAACGATTCAATTTGAACCCGATTTCGAATAGATAAGTAAAATTTAAATTTTTTTCGACCCAATTAACATCATCGTGATTTTTCTTTGGGCTCTATCTTTGACAGTAATTGATGCAACGCCAAAAGATCGTTGCATAAACAACAATAACGTACGAACACCGAATGGGAACCACTATGGCAATCAAACAGTTGTATTTGGATCGAATGTTACAGCAATCGCACCGATTCGTACGAAAGGCCAGCATCAATCAAACTCAACAAATCCAGTGACAATGCCAGCGCCAGAGGACGGAAGTGTGCTGAAAAAAGTCATTTCATTTACGCTCGATCAAATGAAAAATGCGGACTGTGCAACAGAAAAAACAGCACGCCCTTCATTTGTACCAGAAAAATTACATTTTAGTGCCTATGAGCAATTTAAAGGTGAGTTCACATTAATGATTCAACTTCTGTGTTTGTTATTAGTATTGATGTCGATCAATTTGGTTGCCATGCCATCTTGTCTTGTTTACCGAAGAAGGTGATATAATTACGACTCTTAACAATGTAAGATCGGATCAAAGACGACACAATCGAAGTGCTCATGAGCTGTATTTAAGGAAAATCTTACCGTGAAAACGCATGTAACCAATAACAAATTTAAAGAACCATAACAAAACTATTATGACGAGTAATGAATAGAAACAAACGCATTAAAAAAGCCATATGTTTATGAGGTAGCTTCGAATCAAACTCGTCAAAATCAGATTGGTTCCATCGTGTTACCTGGAAGAGATTCAGTCTTAAATTGAATAAAACATTTACCTATGTTTTATGACTGAATTCTAGCCATCGTTATTATCTGAAGCACAGAATAGGCTTTTTTATGGATTGGATTTGTTTTTAACTTCATTCCAAAATAAAACATAGCAATCATGGAATCACTAGTCCGGAAAAAGCTGGTAACTTAGTGTTGAAAATTCATAGCATTTGACTTTGAATTTTTTTTTGTTGTCGAACCAACCGCTCATACCGTGTATGTATTGTGTGTTCTAGTGAATGCAAACGAAACCTAGTCAAATTTGTCAGGCGTCACGGGTACATCCTGTGTTTGTTTAGCACTCATACGAATACATGCATATATGTGTGAGCGTATACAATAGACACTTACATGATATTTTTGTTTCCAGTGAGTAATTTTTCCGGGCACTAAACTCTATTTTGCATTCAAAGTCGACGAAATTGAATGCAAGTGAAATGCGCGCGCGGGCCATCTCACATACCAGCCAAACCAGCAACGAATGCACATTCACAGAGGGAATTCATTGTGTCTCCCAGCGATGCGGAGACGCAGTCAGGCGAACGAGAAAGGGGGAGACATTGAACTGAATCCATTTAGAATCTACTTAGATTGTATGAATGATTTATCATGTTAATCGTCATGGGTGGAAATTTCTCCTTGAAATATTCGAACAAAATAAAAACAAAGCGAAAACAATTTTTGCACTGTATAGATGCAAGATTCAATCAAACCAAAACATGACGAAGCTATTTCGATATTCGATGTGAAAGTGACGTTAAAGGCTAAACAAATAAAGTCATCGGTAATATCGGCAGCAATTAACTATTGCCGAAGAATTTCAATTTATGAATTTGTGGGCTTAATCATACCGAAGCCATATATGTTTTACGATGAAATGCGATTGGAAACATCGCTTCGCGCGATAATAATTGAATGAAGAATCGAATAACGGCTATTTGTTTATCACCCGATTAACGAGTAACAGCTGAGTCAAGCAGCAGAAAAAAAATAAACATAAAATCCAAGCCAAAATATCAGTCCAAATAAAAGAACATCGATGTGACAAAATAATTAATGAACGAAATATAAACAAACACACGTGCAGCAAAAGAAATATTTATAACTGTTTATTCTGTTGCCATTCGAAAATCGCATCGACTACATATACATGATGAAGGAAACGAATTCCGTACGCAAAAAAAAGAAACGAAGAAAAAAAAACATGATTTGCGATGTGTTGTTCTGATATTCAGTTGAAATGACGATGCAGTGAATAAACCGATTAAATCAAGTGAAACGTTCCCTCGAAGAGAGAGAGAGGGAGAGAGAGAAGAGAAAAAAACGTATAAATTTGGTATCATTATTTCTTTGTACAATTGCATTGGAGGAAGAAACATTTACTCTGCGTATCGTGAAGAATGCTCATGTTTTTTTTCGTTATTGTTGTTGTTGTCATTGTCGAAACGCTGTCGTTCTTCTGAACCGTATCTTTTTCCGTGCTCGAATCACAAAATCAAATTAAGCTCAAACAAAAATGAAAAAAAAAATTATATGTACATTTGTAGGCTGGTTTGTAGTCAGGTAATCAGTGAACATTGTTTGTCAGAGCTGACTGAGTGACAAATGTTTTGTAAAAAGCTTTTGTGTGCAATCAAAATGGACTTGATGGAATGCGAAGCAAATATTTATCTTTTTTCAAAATTTTTGTTTATATGATAAGATCAGACGTATAAATGATAAATATTTTGATTGCGGCGGAATTCGTTTTGATGAAATCTCACTTAGTCTTTGTTACTTGATCTTTTCACTGCCAAAGAATTGACTTATTTAACATTTAGGTGGATTAGCGTGATAATATTGCACTAAAAATACAACTATGAACACGAAGCAGACTGAAAGGAGACCACATTTCTCAAACTTTATTGGCTTAATTAATTTCATTACAAATGCTCCATATTTATAGATAAATCATTTTCAATGGTTTTATGCGTTGTATTTTCATTGCTTGATTAATAATCAAATAATTCTGAGCCTAAATTAGAAATGGCTTTGAATGGTTATGACTGAGTCAAATTCATTTAGTGAATATTTCTGTATCGAAATGATGAAATGTTCGAAATCAAAGTCAATCAATTCTGTGTATGACCGAATATAGCCTTGATCTTGCATACTGAGGAAATTCGTATTTTGTATCTCATTTTTGTTAAAATTGAATTAATTCCCATCGCATAAAGTAATAATGCCAATTTTTTTCTTTTTTTTCCCCTAAAACAGGTCAATTGTTTGTGAAATGGGTGAGCAGCTCGATAGCCAAGTCTCTGGAATTAAGTGAAATCGATTTGAATACGGTTGAATTGCTTATTTCGGGAGTTTGTACGCATTTGATAGCTGCCGGTGTTTTGAAACAAATAGTTGACCTTGATGAAAAGAATAAGAATGTGTTTTGTGTAAGTCTCTCTCCAACTGTAACTCTCCATATATTCGACTCTTCCAATAAATTTCATCAAATGAATGGTATTACTTGAATCAACTGTGTGATTATTTTTCAGCCGAACGAAATGTACCAATGGACGCACATCGAATTATCTCGACAACAACAAAATGAACCAAAGAAAGAATGTGTACGAAATTTGCATCCAATTGATTCGGAAATCATTGAATGCCAAAACATAGGTACACTGAATATGAGTACACTAACATTGACTTCCAATGGACAGGAGGAGTCGTTTGCCTCTTTAAAAACCAAATTGCTGTCACGCGAATTGGCTGCTGAAACCAATGCACAACAAAACGGAATCGAGTCAATCAGTTCAGATGCCGAGCACGTGAACAAGAATCATGTGGAACCTGTTCGGGATGTTCTATCGAAAGTTGATTGTGCCGATCGTTTGGAAAACGTTGAACTTAAAAGCGACTGTGATAATATGTTGAAGAAAGTCTATGTCGAAATATCTACGCAAACTGAAGATGTAGTGGAGTCAACTCATAAGAAGGAGAAAGCACCCGAACCGATAAAGATCATTGCAGCAACTCCATCACCACCACCACCGCCGCCTCCACCTCCACCATCGCCCTTCATATTCAATGAACAACCAACCAAGACAACGATTGACATCACGATTGACAAACCAATTGCCCCGGACACACCAACCACATCACATCCGAACAACCTAAGTGTTGCAGCGCCGTCTACAACCATTTTATCTAGTGCATCATCGTTTTGTGTACCTCCACCGCCTCCCATGAACGGAATCCCAGGTCCACCACCATTGCCCCTACCAACCGGAAATATGTGGTTCAAAAGTGACAGTACGTTGAATAAGAATCTATTTGGTCACTTAACTTCATCATTCATTTACATTTCCCCAATTTTTCATTGAAATAGCTCTGCGAAAAGCCGCCAAACACCCACCAAAGCCAATGATCAACTTATTCTGGACACGTATCCTAATACCAAAAGATGACGAAGAGGAAGAAAACGTGAAACCGAAAGTTGACATGTCAACGACGAAGAAACGAGAAAAACTCTGGCAAAAGATTGATGAGACCATTTTGGAAAATGCAGAAGATTTCACGGAATTGTTTGCCCGCCAAGCAACACCAAAGAGACCGCGTGAAGTGACCAAACTGCCCAAGAAAACGGTGATCAAAGTGCTGGACCATAAACGTTCGCAAAGTGTTGGAATTTTCTCCCAAAGCTTGTATCGACATCGAATCGATCCACAAGTGATTCAGAGAGCGATCTACAACTGGGATTTATCAAATATTGGCCTCGATTTATTGCAGCAAATGCTTGAGCACCAAGCAACGGCCGATGAATTGAAAGCGATCAAAGAAGCATTAAAAAATGCTCCGTCAAACATTCCGTTAGATGGACCGGAAAATTTTCTGTTGAAATTTTCCGAAATATCATGTGCACCCGAACGAATCGCTTGTATCATATTCCGCAATGAGTTTGAGGAGGCAAACGCTCAAGTCGAACAAAAGATCAAAACAATCACAAATCTGTGTGAATTCCTCGTGGAGAACGACCATCTCAACGATTTGTTCGCAATCATTTTAACGCTGGGCAATTTCATGAACGGTGGTAATAGGTATAGAGGCCAGGCGGATGGCTTTGGACTGGATGTGCTCAACAAGTTGAAAGATGTCAAATCCAAAGACAAGAAAATCACATTGTTACACTTCATTGTGAAAACGTTTATTAGCAAACGGAGGCAAAGCGGACTGAAACCGAAGGAGATTATCTTTCCAGTGCCCGATGCAGACGATGTGAAAAGCGCTTCGATCGTTGATTTCGAGTATTTGAACGAGCAAATTGAACAGCTTCGCAGAAATATTGAAGGTATGAATTATGGATATGAATAACGAATTTCATTCATGAATTACCATGAAATCGAGCAAATTTTTGTTCAATTTAGTCAATTATGTTTGTTTTTTTTTCAATTACACTGTATTTTTTTGTATTGCAGACATCAAACAAAAAATGAATGTGGTTATTGATGCATCAACCGATCAAAATATCCAGCCGTTCAAAAATATTTCCGAGGAATTTGTGCAAATTGCTACCAATAAAATTGATTACCAATTCCAGCAGCTGAAAACATGCAAGGTCATCTTTCGAGAAATGTTGGACTACTTCAAGCACATTCCAAAAACGGGTACCATCGATGAATGCACGCCAAGCCAGTTTTTCGAGTTATGGGCGAATTTTAGCATTGATTTCCGCGATCTTTGGAGAAAAGAACTCGCGGCCATTAATGCGGAAATGTAAGTTAGCTTCAGCATTAATTAAGCCTTTGCCCGTTTTAGTTACTAACCCATACACAATACTGCTGGCACAATATTATCTCATAAAGTTGAATAATTCACGTACAATTTGCATAAAGCAAGAAGTATCGTTGATAGGAGTCTAGTTGAAGAGATTCTTAATCGCTTTACAAAGAGATATTCGTTTGGCCAATCAGCAGTAGTACATCGGCCAGCATAGACTGTGATCATTTTCAGTGAAAATTAATGCTTACAAATTAGAAAATAACATGCTCACCACTTCTCTTTTTATCTCACCCATGCACCATTCTTTTAATTCTAGCATTCAAAAGTACAAAAGTATTGCTTCACCAAAGACACCGCAAAATCGGGCTAAAGGAAAACAAAAGCCGACTGGCTTACGTGTGAGACGCGTTAACCAAATCTAAATGGGTGCACATTTGCGGCACCATCACGCACAAACAATATCGACTGAACAAACTTCTTGCACCAACACTAATACGCATGCAAATCTCAATGCACACACTCACATCTATCCACCAATTAACAAATCATCAAAAGAAAATTTATAGTTTTTGTGTCAATTTTTTTTGTATTTTTTTTTTAATTTGAATGTTTGTCGGAAACAATAAAGCGATTAAGAAAAACGATCATATATATATGTATACGTTTGAATGAGAATTGGAATGAAAACATCGAACAAATGTTGTTTTGATGATTTTTTTGATATATTTTTTTAACAAAATAAATATGTAGAAGAAAATTTAGTCTCCAAAAAAGAATGTAATGAAACTGGAGCACGATCAAAATGGCAGGAGACCAGAGAAATAAGAATGAGAGAAAGATATATGAAATTATCATCACTTGTTATAAGTCATTTATTGTTCTTCTTAGAAACAAAGAAATTTATAAGAAAACAATGTTTTGAGAAGCCGAATTGTCGTACCTTTTTTTTCTCAATAATTTGTTTAAGCTACTTGTTGAAGACGCCAAATAAAAAAAAATGTACTGAAAGAGTCAAAAAAATGTGGTTGTGTTTCTTTTCCTTTCTTTTTTTTCTTCTTAAGTGTGATTTTTATTTTGACTAATGTTGGTAAGCGATACGGTTCCCTAAGCAAAAATTGTTGTTGTTTGGAATTATGAAAAATTTGTTAAAAAATATCGCGAATTTAAACCATCAACTCTTAGCAGTATGTCGATATACAATGGATAAAAAAAACAATTCATCAAATTTTTTGCTATTCATCCATTTGCATATTAAGTTGAGCCAGCAGAGCAGCTCGTCGTGATTCCAATTCAGATTCGCTAAGCGCTTGGTCGTCTGTGTTTTTGGTCAACGGTGAATCTATGATACGGGGATACACGGATTAGAACTTTCCTGAATTTTTTTTTCTTTCTCACTCATTTCACGCTTTACCATCTCGATTTGATGTAGATATTGGCGGCGGTGTACCACTGACCGATCGTCTAATGCGCTCTTTGTCCTTTCTCTTTTTATCCTTCTTTTTTTTCTTCTTTTCGGGCGTGGTCGGCGTTGCCGGTGACAACGGTTCAAGCATTGGCGATAGCTTATCCGCCGATTGCACGTTCGATGGCGACTCATATGATACCTGTTGAGTGAGGAAAAAAAACATTAATTTTTTTTGAAAACAATCCAGTGGAAGTGGTTCAGATTTGTTCAATTTACCGATCGAGAGTGCTTGCGATGCTTCTTCTTTTTGGACTTCTTTCTCTTTTCGCTGGACGAACTTATCGTGCTGGTAGACCTCTGTAACATGCAAAAGCATGAATTTTAGGATTCAATTGAACACTTTTTTCCATCATTATCAAATCACTTACCGAACGTGACCTTGATCGTTTTGATTTTTTCACCTTTTCGTACTCCACTTCAGACAGTTCGGAAGCCTAAACAAAAAGTATGAAACAACGAATTAGAATCAAGTATCCCGTATGAAATTTCAATGCGAACATCAACCATTCAATGGTGAACTATTGATAACCTACCGATTTCGAGCTGGATCGAGACCGTTTTTTATGCTTTTTATTTTTCTTCGATTTCCTTGACCGCGAATGATGATGCGTACAAGAATCCTCACTTTCGCGTATAAAGTCCTCCCACAGTTTTTCAGCCGATGCTTCCTTCGCATATGTATCATATACTTCGGTGTTGACAACGACTTTTTTGGCCACTTCCCAGCTCGATTCGGACGTAAGACCGGCATCAAGCCACATTTGCTTAAGTTCATTCTCCAGTTTACGCAATCGTTTCGTTTCCTCGCGCAAACGTTCCTTCTGAATTGCTTCCGCTTTCTCCAGCATTGAGTTGTACGTGAGTTTAACGTTGCCTGCATCCAATGTTGCGGATCGTTTGTCCTCACACACAATCGTTGCGAACCGTTCGAATGAGGTATCAGCCTTGACCGCAAAATCGGCCTCTTTTAGGATTTCTTTAATAATTTTCTTCTCATCATGGAATCGAGCTTTGAGATTTTCTACATAAAATTTGAATAAATCTAATGGCGTTGATCCTGGCTGGCCGAGCATGGCTGAGAACCGAAGGTCGGCCGAAATGAGTGGATATAATTCTACCCACAATGACATTGACGTCAGTTTGCCCTCTTCATGCAATGAATCGAGTAATGCCAAAAATGCATCACGATTTTTGCGCTGTAACCGCTTGATTCGCTTCTTCTCACGATCCTTTTCTTCAATTTCTTCGCGCTCGTGTGTTCTAATGTGCTCCTCAAAAACAATCAAGGCATCCTCTTTGTCCATGCCAAGCAGATTGACATCATTTTTAAATGCCGCATTTTCCAACAGCATCACTTGTGCTTCGGACCAAGTCGTTTGGTACGTGATTGAATTCATTGACTCAAGCACTTCCGATAGAACTCGCATATTTCGCTTTTTCATCACACGCGCTTCTTCTTTCTCCCGCTTCGCTAAATTAAACATACAATCCTCGTAAATGTCACGACGATCCTGATCCGGAACATTCGACCAAATCTTTTGATTGGCAAACATTTCGTCACATTTATAGTATTTGGTGGTCGATGAAATTTTATCGCAACTCATGAGGAATTTCTCTAAATCTTCTTTTGCTTTTTTCGCACGTAAACGTTGCTCTTCACGTTCGTCTTTGAGTTTTTGTGCTTTGTACGAGTTAAATGCTTGTTTTCGTTCGTTTAAATTTTTAAAATTGACATATTGTGGATCTTTGGAAATAATTTTCATGCAATTATCCCACGTCGAATTTGATGGTATATTCTTTTCCCTAAGCAATTCTTTAAACGCTTCGATTGCTTCTTTTTTATCTTTAAATTCAACTTTTGCCTGTTCCGGACTGGGAATCGATTTATTTGCATCGGCATCATTGTCTGAAATGGTGATTCATGGAGATTAGCACAAGTTAATGAATGAAACGGTGTGAATTGAATACCATTTTTATCTTGCGATTCAGGAATTTCAATAGCCGCTAGAGTGGCTGCCATGGCTTGATCCATTGCAGACGATGAATTTTCATTGGAATCGATTCCATTCTCAGCTGGTGAACTCGTGTTGGATGTATTGACTGTAATGAAAGAGCGTTTTTAATCACCATAGGTTGAAATTTTCACCATACTTGAAAATCAAGAACACTTTGAATGAAAATCTACCTTTAGTTTGTAGAATCGCTGGTGGCACCGTTGTCATTGGTGGAATCAATGGCATTGCCGCGGCGATTGGAGGGAAAACACCTGACATAGTTGACGACGTTAAAGCAGCCATTGCTCTTGCCGCATTGGCAGCTCGCCTATTAATAAATTCAATGAAAATATGGTCAAATATGAACCAACGCAATGTGTTTTTCTTCTTCTCATGCATACTCACTCATCTTCGACGATTTTTTTTTTAATTTCTTCGAGTTCCGTTGGAATGTCCCAGCGCGATTCTTTTGTTGTCACATGATAGTAGTAGACTTTACCATTTTCCGAGCAGTACTCTTTCCATGAACATGAGGATAGTAGTTTTTCGGCGTTCGTCTTTAGTTCGTCCGGTTTTTCCCAAGCACTCTGTTTTGTGATACTGTTATAATAGTAAGTGCGACCATCTGGTGATTTATGCTCCGACCATTCACATGTTGCTGGCGGTGGAAAACCGGGCGGCGGCATACTAAACACCGGAACGGGAAAACCACTGCCCATTGGCATGGGTTGAACGTTGCCCGGAGGAATATTCATTGCCTATCGATGAAAATGGAAGATAAAGTTCACATTTCAATTCTCTAATTAGCTAATACAATGGGTATTTCATGAGAATCGGCGTAAATTTATGAAAACACTTCTAAACAAACTCCAATTGACATAACCCAACTTTTTTTTACAATAAATTTAATGTATTTTTTAAGCAACTACTTCGATATTGATAGAAAAAAAGATTATTTTCCACATAATTTTGTCCACTGTACCTAATGCAATCGTTTTCTACGCATAAACACAAGCGGATTTGTGAGTATTTATTTGCAATAATCCACGTATATTCTCATAAAACACAAATGCTTCGTACACAGTGAGAGTCTATTTGTAATTAAATACAAATGTCAAATCATCGGCATCGTCGCTATACACTTACCAGTGCTGCCACCAAGCACAAATCTCAAGTTGTCAAATTCAAAAGAGATAGCGGGGAATGGAGCAGAACCGGACCATTCAATAAGAGAGATAGAGAAGGGCTTCGATGTACGTTACGTATAGTGGAGTTAATGTTTAAATTGAAGATTTTATATTTATAGAGGCAAAATTGCAAAATGCAAAACAAAAACCCTTGATTTCCAATTTTTTGTATTCGATTTATTTTCATTACATATCTTATGAACACGAATTAATTCTAACATTTCTATTTAATCGATATGAAAAGGATTTCTCGCTAGTTGGATAAACTAAATATAATTTAAATATTATATTTACAGCCGAATATAAAAGTTTATGCAAAAAAATATGATTAAAAGAGTAACAAAATGATTTCGAATTTCATGTGGTTTCATTTGAATTGATTTTTTAGTAGTCTTGTTCGTATGGTAACCTGTAATAAATGGTTATATTTGTAGAAAATAGTACGTTCGTTCTCGTACAATCAACGGTTTTGGTTTCTATGCTATTTTTACGACGTATGAATGAATCATGGGCTAAAATGAGCTTACATCTAAAGCAGTCTACTATTTTAATAAATACATTGTTGTGAAAGATTTCGTATAAAAAATTCAAATAAATTATCTACACAATCGAATCAAAACGCATTAAGAAACGGTCATTTTTTCTTATGGTCTAGACATTTGTTGCATATTGTACTGATGAGTAAGTGGAGCGCCGTTATTGTTTCCACTGTGCATTTGTTTTGGTTGCATTGGTGTTGGTCCGTAGTTTACTCGTGGTTCCATCGTGCCCATCGATGGTTTGCGTTCGGATCGAATCTCTGATCGTATTGGACCATTCGTCGGTTGTTGTTGATTTTGGACAAAGTTGCCGGGCATGATTTGATCGCAGTTTGGCGTACGGCTGCTCGTTTGTGTATTTGGTGTGGAAGATGATGGTGGGTAAGATCCGTATGAACTGTCATCTGATGCGCATTGAGTTGCTTGTCCTGAACGTTTGTTGGTCATTCCATAGACAGATTCTGGTCGGCGGGTTACGTACATTTTTTGCTCCTCACGTGGTCCTTCGCGTTCGAATTTGCATAAGTCGTTGCCTGGGCTTGGATTGTTCCGTGTACCATAAACCGATTGGAAGCCGGCGGCTGAGTTTTCGTTATGTTGTTGAGGTTGCATTGGACGCTGCTCATGACGCATGGAACTACGAATGCCATAGATACTTTCCGAGCGTTGTTGCATTTGATTTTGAACATTTTGGTTTTGCAAGTGTGAGTTTTGAGCATTCACGCGGAGTGGATACAAGCTCTGGGCTGGCACAAGTGGGCCTCCTCTTGGTAAGAATTCGCGATTAATAGCCGTGTTGCTTTTGGTGTAGACCGATTGTGAACGGTTCAAATTAGCGCGGGTGAGTGGTGGTGATTTGCAGTACATCGAACGGGTTCCTCCATAAATTGGTTCGATTTGTTCCGCCTTTGAGCCAATTTCGCTGGTGTAGAGGTTTTGGCAGTATCCATTTTGTTGCTGCATCGTTCCAGTTGGTGAACGGTACGTTGAGCCATGGAATTTCGGTTGGGGCATATTCAATTTGTCCATGTCCAAGTCGGAGTTGGTGTCATCGTCGGAAATGCAGGCCGAATCGTTCTCAAGGTCTTTGCCAAGTTTGAATGCACGTCGTGGACTGAAAACGTATTGATAAACTATGCCGGAGATTGCACCACCAACCAATGGTCCGATCCAGTACACCCAGTGATTATCCCAGCGATTCAAAACGAATGATGGTCCCAATGAACGGGCCGGATTCAAATATGGCATCTGTAAGAAAATTGAAAGTAAAAGACAATTAGTACTTGATCGCATGAGAAAAATGTTCGCATTTTTTATTTTCAACCGAGAGAATCTCCATAAAAAAGCATTGCCAAAATTGTTCAACAATAAATAAAGTGAAGAGAGAAAAGAGATCGCACTTTTTTGCCACACGTAATTTTATAGTTTTCAATTTATCTTTCTTTTCATACATCCAGTGTATGTATGTGTAGTGGTGCACATGGATTTATTCATAGTTACGCCACCATCCGATTTTTTTTTTCGTCGTATTCAATAATCTGAAAAGGCTTTTGTTTACGGCTCGTAAATAAAACTGAATGCCTGCTCAAAGAAGATGCTTCTTCTCTTGTGTTCTTTTGTTTGAGCAAATTTTCTATGCTGCATCCTTCTTGATACTCTCTTTCACCGTGTCATTCTCGGTTTTCTTTCTGCTTTTTCTTTTTCTTCTTTTTATCATTATTATTAATATTATTTGCTCAATGCAATGGCTTGACAATGAACCAACTGTAAACTCAATGCATTATTTTCTTTCTTCGGATTTATTCTTCATTGCTTTGGCCATTTGATGACACTAGTCGTAGTTATAATTCATTACATCTAATATTTGAACACCTTTTCCACATCTATTGATGTAATGTTTGAAAAATGTAAAATGTCCGATGACCAGTAGCCATCTCTCATGCAAAACCATCGAACATAATGGCAAATGAAAAATGTTCCATTCTTGGAAATGTCAAAGAGCGCAAATAAATCCAAATACCGATGAAATGTATAACTCATAAATGGTTTGCTGCGATGAAAACAAATATTTGCCGATCATATGGAATCAATGAAGGAAATTATTGAAGGAAAAAGCAGTGATGAATTGCATTGCATTACATGTATGGCATATATGCATATGCGTCGCATAATAATTCGCTTCCTGAACTCGATACCAAATGAAAATGTCGACATTGTTGGTGTTGGTGTGTTTATTCCATTCTTAAATTATATTTCTTCGCATTTGCTGCCGAACCGAAGACTTTCGGGCCAAACACCGAAAATAACGTAGACGATATTGTCTGTTCTTTTGTTCAAACATCCTTTTTGATCTCAAATCAGCGTAAATCATTTTGGTTTTCCGAAAAAGTTTACCTGTGTGCGTTTTTTGTATATTCTATTTCAATTCAAGGTAAGAAAAAAAAAAACCCTTATCGCCATTGTTTGCTTTAGACAAAGGCCAAATTGCTTTTGACTAGCACGACGGACCCGAAAATGACGAAAGAAGTAGTTAGTTTTTTATAATTACGAAGGTATGAGGAGGAAGAGAATTTACTTTTTTCTCCAATTTCAACTTTAATTTGAACATTCTAAACAATGATTTTAAATTCACATTGTCCAAAATGCATAGATTCCATCTTTTTTTTACATTTAGGAATAGTTTTGGTCAAAGCCTAGCCTAAAAATGAATGACCATGAATTGACGAATGGAAAAGAAAGTGGTATCTCGTTGAAATTTTTATTTGAGTTGTATAATCAAGTGCGAATTGTTTCTTCTACTTCTTTCATCCGTAATGAAACGAAAAAAAATGTGCAGGTTTTTGATCGGCGTCACATCGCAAAGCTGTGGGCTGAATGTCGACAGTGTTCGGCTTCCTTTTTTTAATCACTGCTGAAGGAAAAAATACGAAGGCTTGGAGGTAAACATCATCTTATGTGCAGTGAATGTTCGACATGCACTCAAATGTATTTGTAGTATACATATTTGTGTTGTGTAAGGAGCAAAATATTCGAAAATTCCAAAACGGCAGGTGTGCATTTTGTGTGGAACGCAGAAGAAAAAAAATCAGTTTAAGTTCAGTCTCTTTTTTTGCCTCAACAATAAATCTGTATATAAAGACGTGTATAACGAATTCACTTTGAATAACCACATGCGTGGAGTATGCCAGCTTGCCTGTTTCTTCTTATTACTCTTCTTATCGTTTCTGTTTTTTATTTTGGTTTCGTTTTTCTTGCCTCTCTTCTCCTCTCTTCTTGACGAACTCCGTTCGATTGGTTTTTGTAACGATTTTTGTTGTTGTTGTTTGCTCCGTATTCGTCATTCAACGGCGTTGAATCAACGCGAGCATTTTTGTTTAAATTGAAGTTTCTCTCAACAAACGCAGTAAATTGGAGTTCTTTTTTATTTTGTTGTCAATATTTTACTTACGGAAACGAAACTGCATGCGCTGTAAGCGGCTCCAATGGACAATGCCGATACGCCGAAATACGATTTGTATGAATCGGTTGACATTAAATAAGCCAAAACAACAATGAATGTTAGGATCATTTCCACACCGAAACGTTCCCAAGCTGCCAGAGCTGATGTGTGTGCGATGGCTGCTTGCAAATTTCCTTGGTATCCAGGTACCGTTACACTGCAAAAGAAAATAAAAATGATTGAAAGGATTAGATTTTGAGGTATTAAAAAGGGACAAGAAATTTAGAAGAACCGTTTTTATTTGTTTTTCATTAAAAGGAATAAGCTCCGTTATAATGTTGTTAAAATCAGGCAAACGGAAAGCATCTGTTTGGAATTGGTTTCGAAATCAGTAACGGGAATTCATTCAACATGTGCCTGTACCTATTTTCGTGTACTATTTAAATGCGTCATTGGAATGCATTGTAAAATGGATTAGTATGCATCACTTAAATTTACGCATTAATCACTAAATTTCAATCTAGTATTTGCATAAGCGTGACGAAATATCAATGAAAAAAACATCATCTGAACACGCTCGAACTGATATCGCTAAAGTAGCTACTGTATTGCAATCAAATGTCTGTATAAAATTGATTTGAATCTAATAGAATTGTCCATGAAATGAAATGCAAACGATTGAAAGTGAAATGATATTGATTGTTCTGTTTTCTGTGTACAGAGAGGGGTAAGGCGAATACAATTGCCTGATTCGTTCATCAAAACCACAGTAACCACTTGTGCGTTATTGTGAATACGACCAAGCATCAGACATCTTCAAAATTTGCATATATGAGTATCAAACCGAGTGGCTAATTTGTATGACGGGTGCATGCACACATTTGTTCCCCCTTTAGTTTTTTTTCCTGCCATTGGTAAATCATTTTAGCACATCATTGACCCATATAAGCCCGATCAAATCGATAAATCAATCGTTTGACCTCCATTGGAGAGGCAAAAAAATGAAACACATGATATTTTAGCCCAGAATATTTTTTTTTCCTTCTATTTTTTGGTCATCACAAACAATGCGAGTAAATCAACCGCAAATAAGGCAAAAAAACATAATCTACTTAGAAACGCATAAAAACTGTCGATCACTGCAGTGGCCGAATATATGATCGCTTTATGATTCCATTAGCATTTTATTGTTGCCGACAAACAAAATCTGAACGGGGAAAAAAGTCGATGCAAAGCAGCGCAATGTGTGCAAAGCAGTAGAAAAAAATTCTCCCAATATGTCATTGCAATGTGATTTGCAAAAAATGCGCACCCATCAAACAGCAAATGTGGAAGAGCAGAAAGAAGAAATGGCAACAAATTGTTTGCCGTCTACCAATTGACGCGTTCCTATGAAAGATGGAATAGCGCCAGAAAAAAAAATGCAAGAATACCACATCAAAAGAATGCAAAAAAAACATCAACAAGAGAGAAATGCATTGGAAGAAGACGCTACAATGAAAGATGATTCGCCTCGACGGCACCGCAACAAAAACGTCGAAACCAACAAGCCGAAGCCGTAATAACATGTTTTTGAGCGTAGCCTGATTTGTGAACCATAAAGTCTGCTACAAATATGCTTGACCCCATATATATAGACACGTCTACGTACTGTCGCATATGTACACTATTTGCCACATTGTTCATTCTTATTTCTCTCTGCCATACGCTGCCTTTTTTTGCTATTGTTTTGTTTATTTGCATATTCGTGTCGCATGCCCACATTCTCTCCCATTGATGTCCGCCCGCTCGCTCGCTCGTGCGACTCAATCGGGCCGCTCGTTTTCCATTCAGTTACTTTTTATTAATATTTTTAGTTGTTATTGTTATTTTAATGCATTCATGTATGTGACTAACAATTGTGACGGGGTGACGCAGTCTGTGCCGCTGTTTTCTTAATTATTTAACACATATGCATTTATGCGATTCGAACGGTTCTTTTTTTTATTGTTGTTGTTGATGTTTTTTCTGGTGTCGTGACTATCGAAATACATTTGGTTCGGCTGGTGCGCTCGGCATGACAAAGGGCGTGATAATGAAAGACTCAATAAAAATCGACATCGGAAAAATCTATCAAAACAATGCAGATTAGATTCGAACGCAATTACCAGTACTTGGTCGATTTAAATCTTTGTTGCATTTTCGGAACGAAGCGCGAATCATCACATATGCCATTGTCATAATGCCGATTGCTCTTTTGGGCCACAACACAATGCGGTTGATTTATTTTTGAGGAGGAAGATTTTTTTTCCTGCTTGTCTTTCTCCTTGAAATTTCAATGTCATTTTTTTCTCTTCCATCTGAATACTGTTATTATGTCATTTTGATCCACTGCCATTTCTTAGAATGATAGTCGTTTTCAATTCTTTGAAGAAAGCAAATGGCAAATGTGACGGAATGCAATTCAATTTTCATTCGAAACGTTTTTATGCTTACGCAAGAATGAGAAGCACATTTTTTGTTGTTGTTGTTGCCAGTGTTTATTTCTTGTTTGCAGAACACAGCTGCTTTTGCATTTATATTTCTTTTCACAATAGCACCCCGGCCGTTCCTAATACTTAATGCAAACAAACGATGTATTCTTTTCTCTATGTTCACAATTTGATTCTAACATGCTTCTTTATTCAACGAATCTGACAATGGAAGAAGAAGATTTAACATGAACGGAAAACGACTCAGACATAAACGTTTTTCGAAATTGGCTCCGAAATTATGGACAATCGTCGTGCAGAGCACGCATGAAATGAAATTTAAATTACAAGGTGTTAGACTGAGGAACGTGGTATTTTCTTCGGGCATATCTTAACTCTTTGGCCCGTTTTAGTGATTCCCGTCGTCGATTAACTATTTTATCTTTAACGGACATATGCAATAGATTTCTACTAGTTTTTATTCACGCGTCATGAACATTTCGACCGAACATGTGCGTTTTATCCCATTTTAACGTTTATTCGATTTGACTTTGTGTTCCATTTTAAATGTTTCCTTCGCTAGGGTTTTTAATTTTTCTTTATTAAATATCCAGAATGTATACATTCATACAAATATATTTGTCGAAATGTAGAATAGAAAAAGTTATTTTTTTATTTTTTTTTATTTTTTTTTTTTTTTATATATTTTTGTAGATATATCAAAAATCATTTGATATATCCGCCACAGTGAACTGTCTCATCTATCCGAGCAATTAAAATCGCGCCAAATGTGAAAGTCACACTGCAATCAGATGAACATGATAGAATATTTAGATTTCAATAACAACGCCGGCAAAAAAAATAATAACTAACACATTATTAACCCTTGACACTTAACCATATGACAATTTATTAGATGGTTAAAAAGCGATTCGGGGTCGCGAAAAAAGTGATGCTCGCATTTGTATCAAATCTTCTTGTGCTTTGTTCAAACTCATATGTATATGACCAATAACGTTGGCTTCGTAAATGAGAATGCCAGATTGTGCATATGACAGACATATAAAAAAAGACCCGAACAGTCTAACGACATAAAAAAAATAGTGCACGTAATCAAATAAATAACTATCTAAAGTACTATTGTTATTTGGGTTAACATTTATGAGTGGATTGTATGCTATGCAAGTTTCTATCTCATTTCGTATGTTTCGTTGGAAAAACACAATTTTTAGGGTTAAATTTGAATAGGAAGTGAATCATAAAGAATTGAAGCAACAACAACAACAGTGTGCATTCAATGCAACCCCTTTCCATCAGTTAATCTACTCTATTGAAACTAGATCGACTCATCTGACATTGAAAAAAGAGGTGAATAAAGAAGACGAGAAAAAAGATCATGGATTCAATAAAAATGACGATTAGCTTGACTTTTTTTTTCGGCTGAAGGGGCTACTTTTGGCTTCATTTTCATTTTCTGTCTTTATGGCGCTAGATTTAGACCGATATTTAGACGCGGGAAAATTAGATAGGTTCGATTTCATCGACCAAAGGTGGGTACAGACAAAAAATGAATGGTAAAAGCCATACTTAGATTTTGAATTAAGATCCGTTTCCTTGAGGATTTCAAATGATAAATGCACAGATAGAATCAATACGCATGAACCATGTCGAGAAAAAAAAAATTAATATCAAAAGATTTCGAATGACATCTTAACATAAGCCGTGCTATTTGAACTTCCCAAAATGACTCTATGTCAAGCTAATCTCTACCGGGTTTTATTTCTCAGTGTGTCCCTTCCGGCGAACATATTGCTCTTCAAATATTCGCACATAAATTCGTCACATACACTCTAAATGGCAAAGGCACACAAAAGGCAGTTAATCCAAAAGGCAAAGCACCAATGTAAATTTTCATTTATTCGATTTTAAATATGTTTTACGGTGAAGATGAATAATTTTCATTTTCTGTAAATCATTTTTATGCCATTTTGAACGACATTTGCGTAACAACACTACCCCAGGACATTGAGTCTCTACGGTTAGAATAATTAAATACATAGCTCTCTGGGCGCGTTGCACAAATGCATAGAACAGTTACATTTTAAGTGTAATTACATTGCATTGTCTGGGGAAATTTTTGAAAATTTATTTCTACCATATTTTCGATTAAAATCCGGCTCGATTGCCATAAAATTGAATTATCCATATAAAATCCAATGAAATTGCACTTAACATCAAGTCAATCGATCGGCCATAAATTTCGGCATCAGCCTATGTTACACACATAGTGGTGAAAAATGCAGCACTTGTTTGTTCATGGGCGTATAGACAAATTTTTCATAATTTTTATGACCAATCGACAGTTTTATATGTATTGCATGACCACACATTCCCGATTTGTAGGCAAACAGATTAATGGTTTTTCACACATAATTACATCAATCACACATGTTGTGCTTTACAACGTTTCTGCTTCATTTCGCCAAAAACCATAACACTAAAACAAATTGCACACTTTAAAGAAAAAGTGCACCGAAAAAAACATGTTCAGCCGGACCCTTTGAAAAATTGTAAATTTTTCGCGCCGCTATAAAACTGGAATCGACTGACAAACAAGCGAATGTACAACAATCGATGGAAATTATCGCATTGTTCGTTGATTATTGCTCTTGGAAAAAAGTAAATATCTTTCGCTCGAACGAGGTCTTTTTTGCGGTCATTTGTCGCAGAAAAAAACGAAACATTTCCTTTGTGCTGTTCAATTTGA